GTAGATTTAAATATTTACTAAAACATTACCTTACCTAACCTAATGCTAGCTTACCTACCTTGCGCACATCTGCTAATTACCTTTCTTACCTGCCCTACTTACCTACCTGGCTTACCTACCTTTTAATGGATTGTTCATTGTTCAAGTCATTAGCTGGGTTTCCTCGGGAGGCGACCAGGCTAGAGACTGCCCCCCCCCCCCTCATGACCCATTGTGCACGACTAACAATTGCAGAGGAGTGAATGTGTGTGTGTGTGTGTGTGTGTGTGTGTGTGTGATACATTATAAACCCACATTAACACATTTACTCGCTTTAGTTCTCGCTATTAATTACCTGTTGTTTATACCTGTGTATTAAATTAATTAACTCTCCCGGCTACACCTGCGTTATATGTTCTTTAGTCTTGATAACACTTATACATCTGTTCCATACCTGCCGTTCATTGATTACAGCACCTTATTCATATCTGTCATTGATTAGAGTCACACACCTGTTCCATACTCACCATTGTTTACAATACCACACACATGTTCCATACCTGCCATTGTTTACAGCACCACACACACCTGTTCCATACCTGCCATTGTTTACAGCACCACACACCTGTCACATATCAACAATTCTGTGTTAGAGTGTTACGGTTTAGAGTGCTACGGTTTAATGTGTTACGGTTTAATGTGTTACGGTTTAGAGTGTTACGGTTTAATGTGTTACGGTTTAGAGTGTTACAACAAAGTGTTACAATTAATTTTTAAAGTTTTGCTCGACATAATATAGTCTGATAGATTTTAATTTGGCGGGCCGTGGTACTTGTGCTGGTTGTGGTGGTGGTTGTGGTAGTAGTTGTGGTAGTGGTGGTAGTTATGGTAGTAGTTGTGGTGGTAGTGGTAATGGTGGTTGATGTATACAGCTACTGTAATGTATTGGTGTACTAAAATAAAATATATAGTTTATTTACAACTTTTATTATAAAGATAAACGGCCCAACACCCTACTCCACCACTTGAGTACTTCCACCTCCTCCACCTCCTCCTTCTCCTCTTTCAACAGCACCACACACATCACAAGAGTGGCGAGGGTGAACATAGATTAGTTGTCTATCTCCTCTTCCTCTTCTCTTTGAGGCAAACCAATAGCATGTGATGTTCCTCAAACAGTATGATATCGTCCACGTGCCACTCCTTCTCCACAGCGAGAGAGGACGATTCTCTCCCCCACTTAGCGAAACTAATAGTTGACTAGAGTTTATTGCTCTTGTTCTGCACCCCAAGATGTGACTCGGTGCGGACAAGGTCAAGGAGAGGCGATATTTTCATTCGGTTTTTACAAAGTACTTTTGGTGCTACGCCACTTAAACCACACCGAACATGTGTTTGTCGTGATCCCCTCCAGAGGGATAACCTTTCCAGACGGAACAGTGTACGACCCTTCCACCCGCCCGTCACAGATTTTCACCCAACCATGTATTACGAGTGGTGTAGTGAACATGTAGTACTAGTATGTGCTCCCTCCCCACACTCACCCCCCCCACTCCACCCCACCTCCACACACAGCCCCCCCCACACTCAGCCCCCACACTCAGCCCCCCCACACTCAGCCAGGACTGTAGATAGACCGATTGTATAAGAAATATGTATACAACAGTTGATGTATACAGGTACTGTACTGTTGTGGTGGTAGTAGTTGTGGTGACCCAGGAGAGTGAGTCATGGTCTCCGTAGATGAGCCGTGTGAAAAACTGCGCCCATCTGCCTCTGATGCGCACCATTTATAACCCAGCCCATGCCCACACCACCTCCCTCCTTACGCCGCCCACACACCCTATCGTTTCTTCCTGCTCACACGCCCACGATGCATCAGGCCGCCTATAAATACAATCTATACACAACGCCGCCCACACGCCCGCCCGCCAGACACATTCTTAAAGTACACTTCTGTGGTTGCGTCCATAAAGTACTATAGCAACGGTACAATGGTACAATGCACAGGTACACTGGGACAATATACAGGTACATTAACACTCCTGTTCCCTGAATAATTATACGAACAGTTAATACACTTGATTAATTGTGTGTGTGTGTGTGAGAGAGAGAGAGAGAGAGAGAGAGAGAGAGAGACGCCCCACTAATTACACTCAGACTAAGTAAAGTGCAAAATGTGTGTGGGATTCATATAAATGTTAATGTGAGGCTGTGCTGGCCGGGGGGGGGTGGACCCTGAGAGAGAGAGAGTGAGAGAAGAGAAAAGGTAGGGGGAGAATGGAAGGATGGGAGAGGTGAGGGAGGGGAGAGAATGGTAGAGGTAAGGGAGAAGGAAGGAGAAGGGAGAGAATGGTACAGGTAGGGGGGGTTATGGAAGGATGGGAGGGGTAGATGGGAGATGAAAGGTTTGATGATCAGGTATTCAGATACAATAACACACACACACACACACACACGCGCGCGCGCGCGCGCGCGTCCCACCTCTGCATCCTGAATTGACGCTCAATTTACTGTATAAACAAACAGATCCTACGAGCGGACGGAAGGACGGACAGACGGACGGAAGGACGGACAGACGAACGGGAGGGGAGGTAAGAGAGGGAGAGTGAGGGAGTAAGGTAGAGTGAGAGTGAGGAAGATGAAGTGAGATAGAAAGGTGAGAGAGAGTGAGAGAGAGTGAGGGAGAGTTAGACAGATCCAGCCTCACTATAGCGGACCTGGTAATGAAATTATTCAGTGCATATATTTCTGGTGGCCTGGGACCTGCCTGGGACCTGCCTGGGACCTGCTTCAGTAATTACCATCGCCAGAGTTAATGTATAATACTGTCAAATAAAGAGTTACCCCATTGTGAAGTAATAAACCATTTAAAATTAATTTGTTTACACCCTCAATAAAAGAGCATTGGCCGAACACAGCTGACCTGGAGAACCTGATACATGTGAATGAAATCTGGGGACCTAGTACCTGGGAATATTGACCTGGGAGAACTAATACCTGTGAATATATGTACCTGAAGAACCTAGTACCTGTGAATATTGACCTGGGAGACCTAGTACCTGTAAATAAATACACTTGGGGACTGATTACCTGTGAAATATGGACGTGTGGAACCTTGTACCTCTATACCCGTGAAATTATCAAAATCACCGACAGAGGGAACCCGGTACGTGTGAACTGTAAACAAAGACTTGATGAGCTGGTCCCAGATTTATAGTTAATGGTAATGTAAAAAAAAATTCCCCAGGATGGAGACGCGAGGATGAATCTGATTCGTTCACTCTAAACCACGACGCGAGGATAACGTAACGAGTGCAATGACGTCAGGAATTCACTCAGACGACGTCAATAAAAAATACGTTGTTCTGGCATGTCTCACGTCTTCATCTACGACACAACGATGACGTCAACACTCACACCTCAACGACGAAGATAAAACACACAAATTAAAGCTCATATCCTTAACCACGATACAACCACGACCACCAGTGGCGTCAAAACTACACCACCCTGACCCCCCCCTTAAAGAATTCTTCCCGCATCTCAAGTTAACCCCCCCCCCCATAAAAAAACAGCAGAGATAAGACAAGCATGTTTGAGTGTTGGCAGCAGCGAGGCGAATATTATAAGTGGAGGTGCTAAAACAGAGACTCACCGTGCGCCGAGAAACAAGCTAACGTCATAACCATTATTAAAGGAATTTTAACACATTAACGGGTCTTTAAGCGTCGTTAATGTGTATGTTAAATTACCTAACAACCACTAAGAAGTAAGAACAGATTATATACACGCCATTCTCTCTCTCTATCCTCCCTCCCTCACCCTATCTCCTCTTGGTAGAGTTAATCCCAGAATAAACCACATCCTTCTAAAATATATATAAACGTTTTAAAATACAATGTCATTTCCTTCTCAAACACATAACACGATTCCTGGTGGGAGATGTGACAGCTAACGCCCAGGATGTGAGAGTGAGATGTGGCTGTCTGTCTAGGAAGGGTGGAAATTTTTACACCCGGTTCATAAGTGTTCTGAATTATGGGTTTGTTTACATTTTTCAAGTCTCAGTTGGACCGGGTTCCCTTCAGAAACAAATTCGAATTGATGTTGTTTATTGTTTGAGTGTGAGGGAATATTTCTAACAACAGCCTCTAAGACTGAGTTATGTTGCTACAATTTTATTAACCCTTTGAGTACGATGATTTAACCACTTGAGTACGACAATTTAACCCTTAAGTATTGATGATGATGATGATGATGATAATAAATAATAATAATAATAATAAATAATAATAATAATAATAATAATAATAATAATAATGCCAACACAAACTCTACGGGAAAACACCGCCCCATTACAGTACACACACACACACACACACACACACACACACACACCCTTAACTTACGTAGTGAAGACATGATGTAAAGTATGAGAAGATAAAAGAGTAACAACAAATAAAGTAAACGAGAAATAAATAAAATAAAGTCAAAATAGTGTAAAAATGTAACTAAAAATAAAAATATAACCGAAAAATAAAGGAATAACAATAACCAAAGAAAAGACCAACAGGAAAAAACAGGAAGAATGAATCAAAAGGCAAAACAAAATAGAAGGAGTAAGAAGAAAAAGCAGAAACAAGACGAACACACACACACGTAAGGTCTCACCATAACTCACGCCCACTGAGGTCTTTCCCCGATAACCACTAAGTATTCTCTAACATTCTTATACTGTATATATTTCCTCGTAGGCGAAGACGTGAGAGAAAAAGCCCTAACCTAACCTAACTAACCAAACTTAACTTTAACCTAACCTAACCTAACTTTAACCAAACTTAACTTTAACCTCACCTAACCTAACCTAACCTAACTAACCTAACCTAACTTTAACCAAACTTAACTTTAACCTAACCTAACCTAACCTAACCTAAGCTAACCTAACCTAACCTAACCTAAGCTAACCTAACCTAAAACACCAATAAAAAAATGACGCCTAAATAAAAATATATTCTATATCAAGTAAACTTTTTTTTCGTAAGATTGTTTGAGAATGTGGACACCTGAGGACACCTGCGGACACCTGAGGACACCTGAGGACACCTGAGGACACCTGTGGACACCTGAGGACACCTGTGGACACCTGTGGACACCTGCGGACACCTGAGGACACAACAAGACTTATTGGATCACAACTTTTTTTCTCAGTAGGATGCAGGAGTGAGTCTGTTGTTTACTAGTGAAAGGACCCGCCAGGGGGTGAGTGAGTGCCACCATGGGCCAGGGAGTGAGTGAGTGCCACCATGGGCCAGGGAGTGAGTGAGTGCCACCATGGGCCAGGGAGTGAGTGAGTGCCACCATGGGCCAGGGAGTGAGTGAGTGCCACCATGTGGGAGTGAGGGGTGCCACCACCATGGGCCAGGGTGAGTGAGTGCCACCATGGGCCAGGGGTAGTGAGTGCCTGCATGGGCCAGGGAGTGAGTGGTGCCACCACTGGGCCAGGGGTGAGTGGAGTGCCACCATGGGCCAGGGGTGAGTGAGTGCCAGTGCCAGGGTGAATGAATGCCACCATGGGCCAGGGAGGGTGATGAGTGCCACCATGGGCAGGGAGTGAGTGAGTGCCACCATGGGTGGGGTGAGTGGAGGTGCCACCATGCAGGGGAGTGGTGGGGTGCCAGGGCCAGGGTGGTGAGTGCCACCATGGGCCAGGGGTGAGTGAGTGAGTGCCACCATGGGTCAGGGTGATGAGTGCCACCATGGGCAGGGGCAGGTAAGTGCACCATGGGAGGGGAGTGGTGGTGCCTGTGGGCCAGTGAGTGCCACCATGGGCCAGGGGAGTGGTGGTGCCAGGGCCAGGAGTGAGTGAGTGCCACCATGGGCCAGGGGTGAGTGGTGAGTGCCACCATGGGCCAGGGGTGAGTGAGTGCCACCATGGGCCAGGGAGTGAGTGAGAGTGCCACCATGGGTCAGGGAGTACAGTGAGTGCCACCATGGGTCAGGGTGAGTGAGTGCCACCATGGGTCAGGAGTAGTGAGTGCCACCATGGGTCCAGGGAGTGAGTGGGGAGTGCCAGGGTCAGGGGAGTGAGTGGGGATGTGGTCAGAGGAGCAGTGGGTGCCACCATGGGCCAGGTGAGTGGGTACACCATGGGCCGGGGGTGAGTGAGTGCCACCATGGGCCAGGGGTGAGTGGAGTGCCACCATGGGCCAGGGGTGAGTGAGTGCCACCATGGGTCAGGGGTGAGTGGAAATTGCCACCATGGGGGAGAGTGAGTGGAGTGCCACCATGGGCCAGGGTGAGTGAGGTGCCACCATGGGCCAGGGGTGAGTGAGTGCCACCACCATGGGTCAGGGGTGAGTGAGTGCCACCATGGGTCAGGGTGAGTGAGTGCCACCATGGGCCAGGGGTGAGTGGGGGTGGTGGGTGCAGGCCACCATGGGCCAGGGCCAGGGTGAGTGGAGTGCACCATGGGTGCCACCATGGGTCAGGGAGTGAGTGAGTGCCACCATGGGTCAGGGGTGAGTGAGTGCCACCATGGGCCAGGGGAGTGAGTGGAGTGCCACCATGGGCCAGGGGTGAGTGGTGCCTGGGTCAGGGTGAGTGCCACCATGGGCCAGGGGTGAGTGGAAGAGTGCCTGTGGGTCAGGGAGGGGAAGTGACCATGGGTCAGGGTGAATGTGCCACCATGGGCCAGGGGGGGTGAGTGAGTGCCAGTGCCACCATGGGCCAGGGGTGGTGGGCACCATGGGTCCTGGGAGTGGTGGAGTGCCACCATGGGCCAGGGAGGTGTGGTACCACCATGGGCCAGGGGTGGTGAGTGCCACCATGGGCCAGGGGAGTGATGGGAGTGCCACCGTGGGTGGGGAGTGAGTGGTACCACCATGGGCCAGGGCCAGGGAGTGATGGGCCACCATGGGCAGGGGTGCCACCATGGGCCAGGGTGAGTGAGTGCCACCACCATGGGTCAGGGAGTGAGTGAAGTGCCACCATGGGTGCCACCATGGGCCAGGGGGTGGTGGAGTGCCAGGGGGGGTGGTGAGTGCCACCATGGGTCAGGAGTGAGTGAGTGCCACCATGGGCCAGGGGTGGTGAGGTGCCACCATGGGCCAGGGGTGAGTGCCACCATGGGCAGGGTGAGTGGTGCCACCATGGGCCAGGGTGAGTGAGTGCCACCATGGGTCAGGGGGTGAATGAATGCCACCATGGGCCAGGGCAGTGAGTAAGATGCCACCATGGGCCAGGGGTGAATGGTGCCACGATCACCTGAGGGACCATAAAAATACCTGGCAGGCGTATCTGATGAGACCCATATACACCCTTCTCCACCCCATACATACAACACCCATCCATTTCCTCTCAAACCTCATAGATATTAAATGTAACTCTAGCTCCTTCAACCAGAAGCTTTTAAACTCGATATAAAAAAAAAACATGAAACTATTAAAAAAAATAACCTAACCATATCGTGCATACTGGGACATCCGGGTCAGCATTCTTAAAGGTTCGTTCGTTAAGTTAATATGTTTCTTCTCTTAGCCACACTTGAGTGAATTTAATTATGTTACGGTACAAAAAAAAAGGTAATTAAAATGGCGAGTTATTTTATTCATGTTAAGAAGATAAAATTACAGTAGGTTAGGTTAGGTTAGGTTGAATGAATGTTTCAACATAGATTCTACTGCATTATGAACGTTTTAAAGCTGTCTTTATCAGTCCGTCCAAGATGTTGCATCTCTGGGGATAACAACTTTTAACATCTTTCATATACCTGTCTTCTCCTGCCTGACTTCCCTATCTTCCCCTACCATCACCTGCCACCACCTTCACCTACCTCCACCTATCTTCCCCACCATCACCTGCCACCACCTGCCTTCACCTACACTCCACCTATCCTGCCCTACCACCACCTGCCACCATCACCTGCCTGCACCTACGTCTCCCTATCTTCCCCTACCATCACTACTGCCCTATCTTCACCTGTGTAACACATGACTCACGAAATTGCACCAAAAAGATAAAATGAAAAAAAAAGTCACCGGTATAAAAAAAAAACCCAGCTAAGCTCAGATCAGTTATATATAGCGGGGTCGAGGGTTCCCACACACACACACCCGCTAAGGTGCACCTCAACTTACCTGTGCAACACCTGGGGGCGAGAACTTTAAAAAAAATCGTAAATTGTTTGTTTTATTTAAGAGAACGAGATAATGTACGAGTTAACGATACAGTCTCAAGAGTAATTTGATGATATTTAAGCTGTTATATATTGTGTGTTTTGAGGGTTAGGTTAGAAATACCCATACAATGAGTGAACTAGAGACTCTTTGGGAGCAGGTGAGTGCTATCCACTCAACCACCGCACCTAAGCTGGCCTGGGACCGACATACATAGGTTATTAATACAAGCGAGATATAATTAATGAAGATAACAAACAATAGATAACAAGAACAACAACACCTTGTCTTAACTGATAACAATAAGAGATTAAAAATAACACACAATATAGTCAGAAATAAAAATAAGCGTGTGTGTGTATTATGTTATTACCAGATATTTTACACACACACACACCTACACACACACACACACACACACACACACACACACACACACAACACACACACACACACACACACACACACACACACACACACACATGCATTATATACCCAAGACACAAAGTTGTTTCATGTCTCGGTCTGGATATATTTAATTTATTAATGGCATCCCAAGAGGTAAGACTATTGGCTTCATGCTGATGCGCGACCTGCAGCGTCCTGCGACCTGCGGCCTCCTACGGACCTGCAGTGACCTTACCATGACCTGCAGTGACCTACCACGGCCTACAGTGACCTTACCATGACCTGTAGTGACCTTACCATGACCTGCAGTGACCCTACCACGACCTACAGTGACCTTACAATGACCTGCAGTGACCTACCACGACCTACAGTGACCTACCACGACCTACAGTGACCCATCATGACTCACCAAGACATGGACGAGTGAAATGGCTTAAATGAATCCATCGACCACATCACAACATCAAGGACACAACACAACACAACACCACTACAATAACGTCAATCACAACAATAACTTACATAACAGAAAAAACAGGCGATAACACGAACAAATACACGAGCAATAACGGGCAATAACAAATGCAATAACAAGCAATAACACAAGTAATAACACGCAGACAATAACACGTGCAATAACAGGCAATAACATGCAATAACAAACAATAACACAAGTAATAACACGCAGACAATAACACGAGCAATAAAACAGGCAGCAACACAAGCTATAACGCAGCCAATAACACAAGCAATAACAAGAGCAATAACATGAGCAATAACGTAAACGAGACGACTAATAACGCCAACAATAAGAGATAAAATAACGCGAGCAAATAACCCCCAGGAATATCGTCAGCAATAACACGGAGAATAACACAAACAAAGCGAGGAATAACGGCAGCAATAACACATGCAATAACGAGACTTACCGAGTAGCACGAGAGTCTGGTAATAGCTAAAGAAGTGGAAAATAATGTTGACACACCAAACACTGATACAGACACAGCTTATATACCGTGTATCTCAGTTTTACCGAGGCTAGGATCAATATGCTGGTGATAGTGGTAGTGGTGGTGGGTGATAGTGATGGTGGTAATAGTGGTAGTAGGTAGTGAGTGGTGGTGGTGGTAATGGTGGTGGTTGGTAGTGAATGGTGGTGGTCGTGGTGGTGGTCGTATTCACTGACACACACACACACACATACAGGTTCCAAAAATAGTATCGTGCCAACATTTGAACTCTGACCTTTTAGCTGCTAATATTAGAAGTTTGCTGTACCGGTGTTAAAAATATCCTCGTACACATAATTAAGAATATGCCTTAATACTAACAAAATACTATACAATAAGTAAAGGTAAAATACATCCTCATTAGTTGATTGAAAAAATATATATGCTATCAATATATTAAATAAATGGTAAATAAAATCAATGTGTTTAAAATCCGTATATACTTCGTCAGCCATTTTATTGACACGGGGCTAAATGAAATCTGAAAGTATGGGGTATTCAAAATCCTTATTAAAACCTGTTTATATCAGTAAACTAGGATATGAAAGTGAGATTAATTATATTTGGGTAATATTTCCTGTCTTTGTGTGAAGTATTGTAAAATAAACAGTAATAAATTATAACTTGGGATACACTTGTTGGGATTGTCGAGGCGTCCGGAAAATACGTAATAATTTGAATAAAGAAATATGGATGCACCTTTTAAATACCTAAAACAAAGTTAGGTTCGGTTAGGTTGGGTTCAGTCGAGCATAAAAAAATACCCTAACCCCAGTAAGTGGTCAGAATTATTTGAGTTATTTAATATAATTGTTTTAAGTAAATAATTAATACTTGCAGGTGACGTTTACATAACAAAGTAGGATGGATATAATACAAGTCTACAGAAAGTCTCCAGACATAGATTCATGTTAGGCGTAGATTTAAAATCATATTATACTTTTATTTTTATTTTTGGGGATCACGAAGGCATTCCGAATTCACGTAATGGTTGTGAAATTGCACACGATACAATTATAAATCACACAGCCCAATATCCTGGCTGAGCTTGTGCTTGTAGGGGAATATTTCTGTCTAAATATTGATTCAACCGAGAGATTACAGCAAAATTTCGGGTAACTAAAGCGTACATTATATTTCCAGTCATATTCTGTCTTAACCAGAAGTAATTTTGAGTCACATCTGATAGACAGACTTAACTTTACCTCATCTAAACAATACTAAACTAGATTAATCTTAACCCAAATAGTCCATATGCATTTATTTCATTTATTTCTTCTTAATTAAGCTATCTAAAGAAAAGATTAACATAAAACTAGCTCAACTTTGAAAAGGTGCGAGATCTTGGGAAAGCGTCGTGTGATTTAGAAACTGTATTCATTTAAGATCCATACTAGGCTATTATACACGTCGGTCTACACGGCCGTAAAACACAACAGACGAGTTTAACAAATGATAAACAAGCCAAACTAATTCACTTTTGATGTTATTGTTATATTCTGATTAACATTTCGCCTTGGTAAACACTTTATTAAATAATGCAATAAGCGACACTGGAAACATGTCTTTAAAGTCCCATTTTCTTTGACAACTAAATACTGATGACCGACATTTAAATTTATACTATTACTTTTTGTTTGTGTGCATCTACAGTACTTAACACTATGCAACGTATTTTTTATGACGAATAAAAGTAATTAACTATAGTAGGGTTAAAGGTTTAAAGATATTTTGAGACACCAGTCACACCTACACACTCAGTGATCCGAGCGCGGGAATGGCTGGGGCGAGGCGTGAAGTGTGTCCTCCACCCACCTGTTTCTAATGTTTCTATGGACTTTTCATTTTAAAGATGGCTTTCTCCTCATCATGGGAAGTTTTCCGATATTTTATCCATCCTAGAACAGGCAACAGAAGCCTGAAATACCAAACCTTCCACGTCACAGAAGCTCCGGCCCGGGTCTCAATAATTATCGTTATTAATGGGACAGATAAGACACAACTATCGTGACTACAGTCTTTGGTGCATACGAGGCTGCTTTAATTTTAATTGACAAACTTCATCCTTTGACATAAAGCACACATTTATCCTCGTCAGGTAAGGTTAAGTCTGGCAAGTTCATATTGGTTGTCATAATTCACGACTTAATACACAGTAACAAAGTCTATATACACCCAGCTTTCTAGCAATGATAAAAAGAGACCAGAGTAATACACCATACCAAATAAATAACAAAATGACATATAACCCAGTATACTAGAGCAAATATACGTTGCTTACCTTTAGTTAAATGGCCAATGCTGCCCTGCTTTGACCCCGTCAACAAACTCCTTCCTTCATTGTTCTATTTCACAAAAAAATACGTTCATAATATAATAAAATACATTACTGTGCCTTCATAGTAGATCCATGTTGACTATTTCACACTTCTTGAGTCTGATAGGCGCTGTATAAGGAAATAAACGTCACGATAACGAACTTGCGTTACTATCACTCTTCCATTTAACCGCGCGGTCGACGGCAGCGCCAGGCGGCGTGTTGGGCAACGTTTATTGTTACGTCATAGTTGACAGGTAAATGGCTTGGCTTGGCTAGTTTGGAGAATAATGGCCACTTCGCCTTTCGACTATTTCGGCCGGAGATAAATGAATGATTCAACAGTAAAAACAAAATATCCAAATTTATAATTACTTTTCTTTATCCTCTTCACCACTGATCGGCTCGTTAGCCGCTTAGGCGATCGGTTACGTCTCTGTTACGCACTATTGGCAAGTACTGGGCATTCACTGGCTCCTGAATGTATATGAACCTGATCCAACCTACAGTGCTTATCCAGTCTGGTCTTGAAAGAGCTCACACTCGGTGCTGTCATAGCACTCTCTGGCAGATTGTTCCAAGAGTTCACAACTCTCACTCTGAAAAGGTTATCCCTCACAGTTTCTGGGCTTGCTGCTTCTTCAACCTTGAGCTGTGACCCCTTGTGGAGCGAGCGTCCGCCAGCTCCAGGTAAGGGCACTCAACTGAGTAGTGTCCTTTGAGATGCTTGTACACCTCATTTAGATCTCCCCTCTCCCATCTGTAGTATAAGCTAGGCAGTTTTAGGCGCTCTGATCTCTGAGTAGCTGAGGTGCTGCAGGGCAGGTACCAGTCTGGTGGCCCTCCTTTGTTCATTTTCAATCAACTGACAGTCCCTAACATATCGAAGGGACCAGACGGGGTGACAGTACTCCAAACGGGATGCACTTCACTCTTGAAGATCGTTACGAGGGATGGACATCAAGATATCTGAATGACCTTCTTATAAGACCTAATAATTTAGTTGCCTGATTCACCTTTTCGCAATGGCCCGAGAACTTCAGCTCGTTGTCAACGTACACAACAAGGTCCTTTTCACATTGTCTCATTTAATGCAGTTTCTTCGTCCCGTTGGGACATATCATACGCCTCCTTACCATTGGTACGTCCCAGATGCAGCCTCTTACACTTCGTGACATTGAATCTTAGCAGCCATTCCTTCGACCATTATTTATATATATATATATATATATATATATATATATATATATATATATATCTATATATCTATATATCTATATATATATATATCTATATCTATATCTATATCTATATATATCACATATATATATATATATATATATATATATATATATATATATATATATATATATACAAGTAAACTGTAGGTATGCTTGGGAACTTCGTGTTTTCTTCTTCCTGGTTATATATATATATATATATATATATATATATATATATATATATATATATATATATATATATATATATATATATATATATATATATATATATATATATATATATATATACACACACACAAATAAGAGATACACAGGTGAGGGAGACACGGACAAAAGACAACATAGATGAGAAAGACACAAATGAGACATTAGTAAGACACAAGTGAGACAGGTTTTCTCCCAGGACACAGAGAGGTAGGTGGTGGAGGACTGGTGGTAGTAGTTGAGGTAGTGGTGGAGGGCTGGTGGTGAGGCAGTACAGTTTTATAAGAGGTATACTTTAAGTGTATACAGGTATTTGTTTTTAAGAGGATGGGAAATAAAAGGTCATAATCCATAAATACTAGTCTCCCATTTTATTTTCTCTTGTATATCACAAAAGCAATTAACGCATTATACAAATAATATATGTAAGAATAATGTACTAATAATAAATCTTTTAATATTCCCTTTTATCAAGAGATCTGACTGAGGCAATGTCCACTAACAACTTTATATTGTCAAGTGGCACTACAACTGCCATGCACTGATGTTTCATGTTTGGCATTGTACTTATCATTTAAGAAATTATATCAGTGCTAATTTCCTAGTAACACTAAAATCAAAGTACAGTACTTATAAATTGCCAATCACTCCTTTATAAAGTTTATGAAAAGCCTGACTTTAAAATAACAGGAGACACATCTCCTCATATAAAGCTTCAACAACAGTATATTATCAATCACCTCATTCAAACAATAAACTATGATTCTAACACTGCAATTCAGCCTCATTAATTCTGACTAGGAATCTATGCAAAATATAGCATTCCTGCTCTAGATTACCAAATATAAATCTGGTTATTGGTTTCAGAGTGGCCGCTGTGACAACCAACTATATCTTTGAATGAAGTAAACAGAGGAGTGCAGAGTTAATAAGGTTGAACTGTAACATTGGTCAGCACACACCCCTAACATGGGAATATGTACAGATGAAGTCCCTAAATAAGGTGTACTAGTATTTCTACAGAGCTGATGGCTGCTCTATTTTCTCCTGCAGAGCTGTCACCTGCTCTATTCTCTCCTAAAGAGCTGTTGGCTGCCCTAATCTCCTACATCTTCATTTTATCACAAGCAGGCAAACTATTCTGTGGCAAGGGCAACCATCCTAATACATAGTCATTTCACAATGATCACTTTCTCTCTGGAACCTGAAAGTGATCACTATAGAAACATATCCAGTGTTCTATAAGGACAGGAGGAGGAGGCATGTTTATTTACTACAATCGTTTTCGATGTATTAATGTGTCTGATTTATATAGAAAATGATTTTAAGATAAAATATATTTTAATTAATCGGGCCTTTCAATTCTAGAAGAAATTCATACAGCAATAATAAACAAACACTGTACAGGTGAGAAAATTCCATGGAGCATCCCTCACCACACCAGGGAGACAAGAACACTGTATATCTGAGAATTAAAATGATTGCTCCTAAAACATTTGATATTTAAGATCATGATGTGAGATGACAGAAGAAAGAATGCAGTCAATATAGCATTTTGTGGACTTGAATGATCCCAACAAAAGTGACACAAATAGGAATATCCTATTTATGTATTCTTTCAATCTCCTCAGCAACCACATCGAGTTATAACTGAGACTGGGAGCATCCTCAGTTGATATCAACAGTATTGTCCTAGTAATGAGAATATCTTCACAGCGATGAAAATAAGCTCATGACCGTCAGCATACCTAACAGATGAGAATATTTCACACATCCAGAGATTTAATAAGTTAGATGCATGGTGTAGTCTGCAACAACAGACACACTGAAGTAACAGTCATTCTGGGATAGAGAGATTCCCAATATAACAATTGTGTCTCAACAGAAATGTTTCTAAGCACTTGGTATGGTGCTCAGAAAAAAATCACAAGATGTCACTTGATGTATCCAACTAGAAATTTATTTGAATTCGATTCATGATCAGGCAATGCTTATTAAGAAAATTTTAATCTATATATATATATAATCACATAACTAAGACCATCACACGAAGCACAAAATCAGTTGCTTCATTATTTTTTCTACAAGAAAAATGTATTAGACACTGAAATTCTTTCAAAGGTAACTTAAAAGAGGAAGCCAAGAGCTTCTTTGAGCAGTTATTGAATAAAAACAATGTTGCCATTTGCAAATCCTAAACCATGTGATAGCAGCATTATTTTATGTACTTGAAGCCGCAGCCTGAGTTGCAACTTAAAAGGTTCCATGGAAGACAATTTGTAACCTATACTCATCATAAGGTTCAGTGGAAAATATAAGAAAAATGAACCTGTTGAGGTTGAGGCTACCATTATCTCCTGGTGACCACTGGCAACAGAATGTGGGAGCTAGGACGGCTGGCCGCATACAGAGGATTAACAATTTTTAATATTGGTAGTGGAGTCAGGCTCATTTTAACATTGCAATAACAATACAGAAAGCCTGAAAATCAAAATTCGATATCAACAAAATATTGCAAAACTATCTCAATACTGACTAACAGAAAATAATGTACAGTAGTTTCAAATAATAAAAAAGGTTATGTCATAAAAAAAATCTTCCTTTTTTTTTTCAACAGTATGGTACATACAGACCATCCTAACTGAAATACACAAGTAGTAAATGAGATTATTTGCCACTGCAGAGATCACGGAGCTACCAAATTATTACTGGTAATACCAAATGATCAAATATTAAAATATTTTTAGTGTGTATTAATTTATTTAAATATAAATCGATATAAGTTATATACCCAATCACATCAGCATTTTGCTTGTTTTTTCCTCAATGCCCAATATCAGTCACCTCCCACACAACACCTGAAGAAGTCTGCATGTTGGTTTGAATATTATGTGAAGCAATGGTTATTTCTGCAGAAATGCTTTGTATATTTTTATCCTTGCCACACAGACAGCATACAACTGTTCTTGTTCAGAAACTGGCCTCTGCCTATCACTAGTGCTGTACTGTACTGAACTACCATTTATTCTCAAACTTGACTTTTTTCTCATGCCAGAGATACAAGAGCACAGCATGGTGGTACACTTTCTCTATCAATAAAAAGATAATCTTAGACGATTCATATTTCTATTATTCCTTTCCCTACTTATCTTATTCTATTGTCCTGCTTCTAGTTTTCCTGTTGAAATATAACTGCCAAAATGTCCTTTCCTTTATACACACTCTCATTTATCTGTGCCAGTAGTTGATCACTGCTTAACATGCATTACCACAAAGCCTACACATTCACACACACTTATTCAACAAAATCTTCGAGTGTTGTGGATGGATCTTTGACCCGAGGTGTGGACATGATAGTAACAATATTTTTGGTGACAGAAAGTGCCCTCCTGAAAGTTTTAAGATAACCAACAGAAAATAGGAGATATTTAAAAATTATAAAGAATAACAATTGTGTCTTACCAACAGAATTTGAGAGATTGATCAAAATTCACAAGAGCAACAATAAGCAACATGCAATAATTAGAACCCTTGTATATGGAAGAATATTTATATTTCACTGAATAAAAATTCATGCCTACAAATTTATTCCTAATACCATATTGTACCCTTGGGCTATATAAAAGAAAAATAGCAAATAGATATAACCATGTCATATATACTACAGTACAGCCTCATTTTTAATGGGGCTTTGTATACATAAAATTGTGAGAACACAAATCTGTAAAATTGTGGGAAATTATGAGTTAGGTTCCAGGCACCGTTGGAACCATTCATTAAAATTTTTTTACTCCCTATACACTGTATTGTACTCTATTAAATAGCATTGATTGTACACTAAAATGTATAAGCATAACTAAAGTTTATTCTAATCAATAAACAGATTATTGGAGTTATGTCATCTCAAGACGAGGGCTGGTAAACACGCACACAACAGAATGGTGACCCAACACTGCATGTTCATGGCACAGCTGTTCCCCACACTCTGTTCTGTACAGTAGTGTTGTATAAATGACTTTTAGATATTAAAATATTAAGGTATGCATTTCATTTTCATTCATTTTAACGCTATAGTGAATGTGATGGGAGACGACACTCACCATCGCCATGTCATCAACCCCTGCCTATGGCCACCACATACTGTACTTCCAATGTCTGGTCTGACATTACATTACTTCATCTCGCTATATTAAACAGTAACATTTGTAGCGTAGTGCACATGATTTAGTGTAGATCAGGTTGTAACTGACAGGTGCCAGATGACATCCCTTACCATGGAAACACTAATGAACCAATCTGTGTGTGGGATGCATCACCATTGGTCAATCAGTGACTAAACTACCTCACCATTATGCTTGTTGTCTTACAATCCACTGTAAGTGGTTACTGCTTCGGCCACGCTGCCATGAGAGTTTATAAGATAAAAATTATATTTAGGTAGAGAAATAATCGAGGAAAAATTATGTCCTTATTTCATTTATCATATTAATGTAAATTCTGTCTATATAGATTGTTTATAAATGAAGGGTTACTAGATATTTAGAAAAACAAAAGCAAACAACTAATCAATATTGCCCGCTTGTTTTACACGGCATAAAATTTAAACTTACCGCAGTACGACCTCTCATGCTACAGCCTACCTGGAGAAGAACTGCCCTTACAATCTGGTAGTTTTTCATATACAATGCTAAAATTTTTGCAAATTAACTCCCAAATATAGTTAAATTAAAAACCACACACAAAAGCAATCAAATGTAGCATATTAGCATACAAGAAGTGTTAAATATATTGTGTGCGTATATAATTATAATTATATATACATATTCCATATACAGATTCCAGTTGTTACACCTACTGATGAATTGGTCATTTACACAAGGGAATCCAAAAATAAATTCTAAATATACAAGCAAACAAGTAACAGCTCTAAAAGTAAGGATAAATCACCAACAACTTGCTTGGGATGATCATATTATTTCTCTTAAGTACAGAATACTATTAATGGGATGTCTTCCTCCTTTAGGGACATGGGTCTTATCTACATCAAGTTCTCAGAAATTTAGAGTATGGGCAGAGGTTGGGTGCTTCTTACTTTCCTTGCAGTAACAATATCTTTAAATGTGACTTTGCTCACTGAGTCCATCTTGTACCTACTGTTGGTTGAAGTAATATTTTCAAGAATAGTATAGCAATGTGAAATGCTTGTGAGCCATCTGCAGTTTGTTTACTGAAATTGATATCTACCTGAAGTGGTTTTTGTCACATTATCATTTGAAATATGAAAGTATTGTCATACATTAATAATGTCTTCATTTACTGAAAAAAAATAACAAAAGAACATTTACTTCTGTGTGTATTTCTGAGAGGTTTTACTGTATACAACAAATTTAACATTTTCAGAGCAATACTAAATTATATTAAATTATATTTGCAGCAGTTGGATGTCCTACAACAAACTATTGAAGTTTACTTGCTAAGAGTGATTGGCTCCAGACTAAGTAGTTCCTTTGATTGATCAAGTGTCAGTTTAAATTACAAAAACTTCCTTATGCTTGGGCAAGAATACAACTTCTGAAGGATGCTCCTTTGTGTAACCAGCCTCTTGAATATCATTAACATTCACTAAGCAAAAATTTATTATCTTTAATATAAACAACAATTCTAACTGGCTTTGTCGTATTAGCTGATGCAGCAATAAGACATAATAATTCCAATAAATACACTAGTATCCTTGGGAGGAGAGAATTACACTACAAATAATGTTTAACCATCTAGGTGGTTCTTATTAACTAAAATTGGGAATACTAGTGTAAAATATAACTGTACAATGGGCAGTAGACCACTGCAAGAGTTTGCACAAGCCCCATAACTTTGAGAAATTATAAATTATATTAACTCAACAAAGTAATAGCTGAGACCATAAAATATGCCTTAAGAACAAGGAACACATAGTATAATGTTACAATTACAAAACTTGGTATTTAAATGAATAATGTCCACTGGTAATGTATGTTCAGTTCACAGCTGGTCCAGCGTACTGGCACCACAGTAATTTACCTTCAGTCACTCATGCACTTTACACACCATGAAAATCTCCTGAAGTACTGAAGTCAGTTCTGCCATATAAATAGGATCACAAGTACCTCAAGACTGCAGTTAAAACACAGAGTATTAGCACCTAGAGCCTTAAAGGTAATTCTGAGTCCTTGATATGGAGTAAATATATCACTGTTACAGTGAATGTGAGCTGTACTGTGGGCTCTGCACACATTGTCAACATACTGTTCGCTGTTATCAATCCAAATGTCTTATTCAAACAGCGAGGTCTTGGAGAGGTTGAGCATGTGAGTGTGTAGATGTTGGTGAATTTAGCTGAAGATGTGACATGTTATAAATATGACGCAGATATAGTGACCAAGCTGTGAAGAAATGGAACATAATTCTGTCAGATACATCACCACAGTAATCAAGATAATATAAACTTCCACCAATGCAGTTCCAAGTCATTTTGAAACCTTCCTGATGTATTGGACAACACTGCCTCTAGAGGGCCATCAGTAATAAATAGGTGGTAGGTAATAAGGCAGGTACTAGAAGATATCTGGGCATCTGGACCAATCCTGGCGATCCTTGCAGTCCCAGTACTCGTGAGTGTACCTGAACACAAGGGCCCCGGTGGATTCATCAGTCTCCTTGGTGAACCAAGTAGGACTGTAAGCTGGGTATTCCCGGCCTGTTGAGTGTCAATAGAAAAATTTGTAATCATATATTTAAACAATACAGTACTACATATATACCCACCTCCTGTAGCTTTTCAATAGCTATATATTTTTTATTCTATATGTCGTCAAACAGTTAAACATGTTACTGTCAAGAGGAAAAGTGTTTTTGCCAAAAATTATTATTATTGTGACCAAATTTGTGAAAATTTTGATTTTGTTAAAACTCTCAATACAGATACAGTACTGGATGAAGACATACAAGGTAGATGGTCTCAACAATAGTCTCTCATGGGTTGCCTTCATCAGGCACTAATGATTAACACTTTCAAACAAATTCTTTGCTCATCCCATTAAATCATTATTTCTCTCAGTGATCAGTGATTATATGAACCCTTTAAAGAATCATAGGCAGTTGTTTTATTTCAAAAGAGACAGACAAGACACTTTATCTGGGATGGTGTAGATATTTTTTTTGTCGTAAACACACACCAAGTACTGTACAAGAAAACACTACAATAGCACGGTGATGGCAGTGTCAAGAGCACCTGCTTACCGTATCACCTTTGTCAATAAACCAAACACAAATAGCCACTCCCTATAAGAGTGAGGTTTTCTATCAGGGATGTGTTGATATACACTTATGTCAGTTAGTGTAGAGGATATTATAAGCCACCTTGCTGGAGCATTGGGAAGGGTTTATAAAATTTAGACACACAGAAATGTTTTAATTAAAATTTCAGCCATTTGACTTCTTGGTAAGAGTATTGATGACCACACTAGAAAACATCCTTGGCACCCTGAAGACTAATGACTCTACCAAACATGACCAATAAGACATCTACTGAGAGCAAGTAACCTATGATAGCCACATACTTGGCTAACAGCAAGTGATCTTTTTTTAAGTCAAGGTGTAACAAATCATAAAAAATTAAACTGCATGACAAGAACAAACTGGCATGGATTTTTCTAAATCCCCCTCCCCCATTTACTGCAGGGTTGGCAGCAACAAGAGCTAATACAGGATACACATATGCTTTTTTGTTTCTTCATTGTTATTCACTCACTACCATAAAACATGTTGTAGCTCCCAACCCATAACAATGCCATAAGTCAGGTTTACCCATAAAACTTCATCCAGTCAGCATCAGGTCATTCCCCAAAAGTCACTCACTTTGTTCTTTGCTCTTTCATGCACACTACTGAGGTTCCCTGAGTAAGTGTCCCTCTCTCTTTAAATGCATTCAAGAATTCCCCTCTACCATCCTTGTCAGAATTATACACTTAAGCAATCCTCCACTTCTCATTCTCTTAGGAAGCTCATGCCATCTCAGTGGACCCTAGTACAGTCAGGAGAGATGCATTTTTCAAATCAACAAATGCCACAAAAAACTTCCTTACTTCTCAAGAGATCTTTTATTACCTTCCTTTAATGTAAATCTTCTTCCTTTTCTGAACACACACACACTGCTACAAGTCCCTCAATACTTAGCATAATCTTCCATAGAACACTTTACTTATTTTTCTATAATTTTTACATTCATTATTACTCCCTTTGCTTACCACCATTCCTTTGTTATCCTTCCCTCACTCATACACAGCCTGTACTGTACACTCTTCTTGTCCATATTTTCGTATCACCTTCTCCTCCTCTTTTGTTCTGACACTATTAAACCCACAAGCTAAACAGGATAATGCCACCTCTCTCATGTGTTGCACCTCGTAATGGTTCAAAGCCTTTTCCGTAGTCACCCCTTTTATTTCCATATGTATTTCTCATATTTTGTCATGTTAATTACCACCTCCAGAACATACATGCTAAATTCAGATTGATATTAGTTGATGATAATGATGATACTGTAATAAAAAAAGTCAAAGGTGTCAAGTAAAGGAAAGGAAAGATTGTCTTGGCAGGTGATGAGTCAGATGAGTTAAAACAAAAGAGCAACAAGATCCGAGTCTGCTAACAGGGAGCCTAAATGCCACAAATACAGAGGAGTAATTTACTATGAAGGGTTCATTTACTATCAAATTATAGCACTAATGTTGCACTGGTTACTGTGTACAAGTCATGTTACCTCAATATATGGCTACTGTACTGAACTGAACTGTACTAAAAATTTTGAGCAATTACTGTACCACTATAACCTAACTGCTCCACTGTGCAACATAATTTTACAGTAGCTAATTCCATCTAAATATTACAAGCCTTTATAATCTGAGTTTGTCATTTTTGAAGTTATTTTTACTTACCTTCTGCAGGCCACAGCACCAGGAATAGCAAGATAACAACAATGAAATACAATACACAATGCTCAACACTACATTAAATTAACCTTTTCTAAATGTTTTATTCCTTATTTACTTGAACATAATGCTAAAGAAAAAGCTTAAAATTTGGTGCCACTTTGGGTCACAAAATCAAATAAATATTAGCAGTACTCTGGATTCATTTTGAGACTCAGGTTTTAAAACACTGAGACAACCCTTTAATAATGTGAAGCTCTACTGTACAGGTGTTTCCTTCTCATTAATTATTCTCACCTTTCACGAATTGGTAATGATTGAATCCATTTCCTAAATCTTACTTCCCAGAGACAAACAAAAGTGAATTCAAATTTTGTTAAGTCAGTGTCAGAATACTGAATTGAAAATATGTCTATTCCATGAACTTGAATTGCCATACACTCAGGGAAGCCAAGGGTCAAATATTTACAACTCAAAACTGATAATTATTCAAACATAATATATAATATAAAGTTTAATTGTACCCTGTATATGTCTTTGTCATACAAAACTTAATTTACATTTTGAAAGATTCTTAAAGAAAAATAATCCTTCAAAAGTTTAAGTAAAATTTCTGACAATAAAACATTATACAGCAAAAAAAAGCTATAACAATTGGGCAACTGAACCTGAAATACCATTTTATGATCTGAAATGAGCAAATGATTAGTTATTATAGGATCGACTCGTTAATGTTGTTATCTATCACCATACTCCATGAACACAGTAACAGCAGCTAGTGCCCGACGTAACTGGCAACTGGCACCAATAAGCCTTTACCTTCACTTTCAAACAAACACTGCCAACTTGTTTTACATTATTTTCCTTTACTTTTTAAAACTCAGCCCCTACTTCATCCTGATGAACAAGTATCCACATTTATCTCAATAGTTTCTTTACATCTTCCAGTCACACTCTTTCCTCAGCTTAATGATTTTTATAACCATTTTCTTACTTATTTTGTTTTCTTTTGCCCCGAGCCCTCCATTAGCTGTTATTCTTGCCTCTACGAAATTATGGTTATTAGCTGCGTATTGTTCACATCTTTCATCTTATATTTCATTCCTTTATCCACTAATAAATAATCTATCAATTCTTTATTGCCTTTATGTATGCTTTTATCTTTCCCTCTTTTAAACCTTGTATGTTCATTATTTCTAATACTTCTCCCCTCTAACACACTACTTTTGATCTCTCCATTTCCAATCATTCCTAATACTGTCAACACTTACAGAACATCATAAGCTAATCTCCAGGTCTTTTGTTTCTCTATTACGATAAAATTTGTCGCCACTTCTTTAGGATCAATTTATTTGAAACAGATGGTGGTACACAGAGCTTTTGAAGGTTAATATAGTGCCTACAAAACTTCTGACCACCAATCAACTAAAATAATTGTGATGACACCTGGATCTGACATCGAGTATTAGTCCAATGAACAATCTTCTCACCTTCAGTTGCTGCCTCCTCTGCTTCTGCCTCCCGTCTGCGCCGAGTTGCTCGCTGCTTCTCTTCTAATCGAAGTTTTTCAGAATTTGCTTCGTCCCATCTGCCATCCTCCATTAGTCGCTGGTCAGGTCTGTTCCGAGAATCTGTGGGGCACACGTTTTCTTCCGGTTCGTTCAACTGACAAGCTAGCTCAGTGAAATTGTAGAATTTCTCTGCATCTGGACTGAAAATAGACAGTTCTGTGAGTACAATATTTTGGCAAAGATAATGACATTCAAAATTTTTTTCTAGGGTTACAGAGAATGATGAAATACTATTAATCTTTTAACCTTCCTCTCCAACCAAATTAGTTGAGAGAAACAATTGTATCAAGCCTAAAAGATTTCTGTCCCTTCACACCCTTTAACGTGAACAAGACATCACACAGAGACTATTGTACTGAAGATCTACTAAGATCAAACCCTTAAAGTAGAAATTATGATTCAGAACCATAGTTTTACATGGTTAATAACACACTGCAAGACCAGTAATGTAACTGAAAAAGTATTCAAATTTGTGTAAAATCCTCAGCCAATCTGTGAGCTGCCGGTAGTTCTTGACCTCTGGTCGTACAAAGACCATAATCACTAATCGGAGCAGTAACATGATTCTTAACAAGTTATATATCAATATATTATTCAGTCTGGTCCAAACTCGCAGTCAGTGGTGAAACTTACGTAACCGTGTTCCTCTTCCACAGTACTTTAGGTGGACCGGTCTCATAGACTGGCTTACCAGCACGTATGGACTGAGAAGTCACACGGCAGGCTTCTATCTTCTCATCCCACATACCCGTGATGAACCACTTAAAAGTACCTTCACTGTCCACAACATATCCAGTAACCTGTAAGACAGAAACATTATTAAATAGCACATACCATATAAAACATCTCTATCCCATCTTCCATTGTTTCTGTAAGTTTTACCTTTAACTTCAATGTGAATACTGTAGTTCAGTGATCTGAACCTCCTTGGCAAAAATTTTGTTTAAACAGCACAAATGGAGATTAAGAAACTTTATATCTATATGAGACATGACCCATTCTCCTATCTCCACTGTCTGAAACCATGGACTCTAAATTACAGTCCTATTTATCAGTCTTATTCACTTCAAATACTCATAACAATCTCAGAAAACCTGGTCAGCTCTATCCAACAAAGCCTGACTTATTATTTCACATTTCAGCACATGAAGTCATAACTTTTTTACAGTATTGTTTTGTACTGTACCTTCTTTGGAGTTTCCCTGGAGAAATAAGAATAAGGAATGAACTTAAGGCAACACTTGTCTCCAGTTTTGTGGTTAATGATCTCCATCTCTCCATGGTTGTCCAGCCACAGCTTCCCAACGATCATATTGTGAACTGTGGTGGACACCTTCCTCCAAGTGTAGTGATTACCTGCAACAAAAACAATCAAATATAATACTGTACTCTACAACTTATTTTATTTATGTAACACAGTATAATTTAACAGGATTACCATATACAGTCATCTACTTTATAGTACTTGTATAGACAGTATGAGTATACAGTACGTATATGATATTTCTCACATGCAATGCTTGATGCTTGAAGGTAATTTTTTTTTTTTTTTACATTCTGGTTATCTCTCATTCTCACACAAAGATGTACACATGACCCTATTGTAATGTTTAATATACATACAGAACTTAAAGAATTCTACAATGAGGCAGATTCTTACTGTTGGTATCAGAAGGAAATACCAGGAACTGTGTGTTAAGACTAAAACTAATCTTAGCTAATATAAAGAAGGTGAAAAAATGATAACCAGGAAGACAAGAGAAGGAAAATAAATAACAGAACTAAAAGAAGGATCAGCAGAGGAAAGACAGAAGTAGATCACAGATCACCGGTGAGCCGTACAGTACACAGGAGCAACACACTAACCACTGTTGTTAAAGTGGAGATGAGCGATGCCGAGGGGGATGATCTGGAGGTACTTGCCCCGGAACTTGGACGACATAGAGAACTCTTGCCAGCTGCTCCATCCAGTGCTGCCCTCAACATACTGTGCCACAATAGGTGGATGATGCGACACCTGACAACATAAACACGACCATTAGTACCACTCATCCACCATCAGAGTATTTATTATGGTCAAGATATGAATGTTTAACCTATAAACACACACACACACACAAAAGGTCTGAACTGTTACTATATTGTGATGTGTTATATTTGTATGAGTCTTGTTGAGGAATGTTGTACCTGTAAAGATATCTAGAGTTTGGGGTGGGTTGGTTAGATTGGGAAGGGTCAAGTTACTTTTGGGTTAGGCTCAGTTGAATTAGCTTAGGGTTGATGTGTTAACCCGGGTTTGGTTGGGTTGGGTTGGTAAGAGAACATGTTATACGGTAATCTACAAGAGATCTGGGTGATGTACATGTGTGTGAGTGTCATGGGACAGTGGAGCCTCTCACCCCACATTATAATAATAAGTGAGGGACTCCTTCCTTCTCCCCCGTGAACCAGCAGAGAACAAGAGCCACACATAACCAGGAACTACACAGTGGGAACTTTTGCATGTGATGCTGGTTTTGTTCCCACGTCCATCTTACCACGATTACTGCCGCCTTCACGCCATCTCGCACATCAACTTTCCACCCTTCGTGACACAAACATTATTCCGACAAAGTTAATGATATGTTATTAAATAAGTATTGCAAGAGATGCGTTCATCACCCACCGCCTGTGTGTCATGTTTACCTAACCTGATGATAGAAGAGTGAGGGTGTAAACAAGCAGTGAGGGAGGGGGAGTGTACTGGTAAGCAACATTTTGTCTGTCTAGTAAAATGAACTGTTCAGGTATTCATGGATTATTGTGGGTTATGACATAGTTTGTGGATACTAAAGTGATAACAGAGTATGTGTGTGTTGACCAACTAGTGTTACTACAGTAGTGCCGGGCATCATGCTGGACCACCTGTGACTACTGAATGGCCTCATTATCTTCAAAATGGTATATCCATAACCAAATAAAACACACAACAAAGTGAACTAACATGTTTCAGGACAAAAACCAGTTCTCTTCTTTTCTCCCACTGTCTGAATGTCTGAGAATCTTAAACACCAAACAACACCTTCCTGAACAAATACAAGATGGCTGCACCCCTCCCATACTAGCGGGGCATATTATATCACCAGTGTGGAGGCAGGAAGATGGCGTCCCGGTCTCTTAATACTGATCATAGCGTCAACTTGAACACAAACTCACATTATACTGTATTGGTCTGTCTTACAAGTACCCAACAGGAAGACTCTCCACAAGCATGAAGTGAGGCGGCTAAGGCAGGGAGATAAAGTAGGGTGAGATGGGAGGGAGTTAGGTAGGGTGTTGTGGCCCGCAATACTGAAGTCATACAGCAAGAATCTAGCATGTAGAGTAGTACTGAAGGGAACACCACACATTTAGAGAGAGAGACAGGGGACCACAAACGCATGTACAGCAAGTAATGGTCGTTCAAAATCACACGTCATCTAAACCTCAAGTACTACTGACTACTACTGTCGCCCAGTTGACTACACATGGGAACTAGCAGCCGTAATAAACATGATACTGTGGTTCTACTTGGCTGACCAGGTAGAAAGGTTTTCCAATATGCAAATGAGTATGTCACTACTAAAGGAAAATAATAAGGGACAGATATGGACGGTGTGGGTGAAGGAGGGGGCCATGCAAAGAGAGGCAGACTGACAAAACTAAAATAAGGAGAGAGGCTGGGGGAATATAGAGAGGGAAGGAGAGAGGCTGGGGGAATATAGAGAGGGAAGGAGAGAGGCTGGGGGAATATAGAGAGGGAAGGAGAGAGGGGGAATATAGAGAGGGAAGGAGAGGGCTGGGGAATATAGAGAGGGAAGGAGAGAGCTGGGGAATATAGAGAGGGGAAGGAGAGGGGGGAATATAGAGCTGGGGGAATATAGAGGGGAGAGAGAGAGAGGGAAGGAGAGAGGCTGGGGGAATATAGAGGGAAGGAGAGAGGCTGGGGGAATATAGAGGAAGGAGAGGCTGGGGAATATAGAGAGGGAAGGAGAGAGGCTGGGGGACTATAGAGGGAAGGAGAGGGGCTGGGGGAATATAGAAAGGGAAGGAGAGAGGCTGGGGGAATATAGAGAGGGAAGGAGAGAGATGAACAAGTGCGGAGGAATAGGAAGATAGGTAAGGCTGTGTGTTGGACAGGACCGTAGAGGAGGGGTAGAGTCACCCAGGCCAGTGGCAGCAGGCCCAGGGTACACTCTCCCCATAAATCCCCATTGATATACTGTAACTTACTTCCTGCTTCCTCTTATAAATTTTCATCTTTCTTCTAACTTTACTACGAATTCTCCACTCTTTATCACCTCTTCCTAATTCCTCACCTTCTGCCTCTCCACATACGTTACATTACTTTAAACCTCAACTGCCCCCCACCCCTCTACAACTACCAACACTGGGTACCTGGACAGTTTCACAAGCCACAATATCACGCACGCCCACCCACCCACCCAGCCAACATGACAACACCAAATTAATTCACCTGTACCTCGAATGTTATCACTTTCTGCGTGACCAGTGTTGACAAGACGAGACACTGTACACGGGAGATGATTCTGTGAGTGGCCGGATGGTGGGGTCGTGACAGTACCAGCGGCCGTGTTCTGACGTTCTAAACCAATCACTGTTTGGGTCTACCTGGCCGTATATTGCGTCTCACTAGTCATTATATTGTCATGTGTGAATGAGTGAACGTGTGTGTGTGTGTGTGTGTGTGTGTGTGTGTGTGAAGATGGAGGCTGGCAAATATTCCACTCTAAACGGCCAGCAGGGATGTATGTATGTCAGGTTTCTCTAGTGGGCGAGTCTTACTTCCGGTCATATACACAGCGAGGGATGACAGGATGGTAAAGCTACAGTGCCTGACTTACTCATCATCCTCTCTCTCTGTATGCTAAGTCACTCTGTGTGTGTGTGTGTGTGTGTATGCGTTCCATACACTGTCACTAACCATTCCCCTACTGCAACCTGTACAGAACCTGTCATACACAAGTACAAAACACTGAGATGATATTGTAAGGCTGATAAATCACACTTTTCAGTCAACAGCCCCGGCACACACCACCAATGTACTGCTTAAATTACTGTGTACTATATTGTGTTGTCGATATGAATACGAGTTACCATAAAACGTTGGTGAAGAGCATGGTGTAGGGGGGGGGGGCAGGTGAGTATGTGGATGGACTAGACTGGGTTAGGGCAGTGAGGAGATGGGGGTGTGAGGTAGTGATGGATGTAGTCACAGGTAACATGTTAAAGGTAAGGCGGATATGACAATGTGGGAATGGGACCACACACACACCTTAATAAGCACAGTCTCACACCTCAAGAATATTGCCACCTTTCTAACATACTAGAAGACCTCCTGAGTCAGTGTGGGGGTGAGTACACAGGGTGATGCGAGGTGTTCTTCCTGCCAGGCCCCACAACACACCTCCTTCCTCCATCTGCTGGTTCTTCCTAACCTGACCTAACCTAAACTACCCCACACCTACACTTACTATAATACCATTACTGTTTGACGCCATTAAAGTAGGAGGCTCACTTATGTCCCACCAACCTCATACGCACACGGCAAACACAAACACACTTTGTATATTTTCAGCCACCGGCTGCAACTCTATTAATAAACCGTTTATTATTAACACACACACACACACACACACACACACACACACACACACACACACTTACTATCTAAGACGGCGTGTGTTGCCGCGTGACTGACACACACATGATACGCTGCTCCCCTTCCTCACAGTTTTTTTTATATCCCATAATTCCTCTCACCAACAACGTATGATCGACCCTCTCCCTTTACCCCCCCCCTCAACACCTGCCCCGGTACTGAGTCTTTGTGGCAAGGTCAGGTCAGGGTGTGGACTGTGATGACCCCTTGATGTTTCTCCCTCAGTACACAAACATTCTTACAGACTCCAGGAAATTAAATGTAATGAAACGAATGTCCACTCCATTGTCATAATTACAGGTGTTGTGTTAACTCTTAGTCATTATTACACTACCTGGTGCTGGGAGTTATAGGGGGGGTATTGACCGTATTTTACTTCAAGGAGGTAGAAATAACACCTGTAATAATGACTGATGATTGGAACTCACCTGTGTAATAATAATCGTATTGTGGAAATAACACGTAACACCTGTACACTAATGGCTGGCTGGGTGTTAAGGTGAACCAACAAAAACTAAAAAAATTCAGAGCATGAGGGAAGGAGCTGGGATTGTTACCACCACCACCACATTAGCCACAACTCAGCACACAAACAATTCCACAGAACTTGTAGACCTGTGGGAGAACACCTGAAGGATGACGACGAGGAGGAGGAATTCCAAACTGTACAGATATATACTTTCACATGTGTACTGTACATTCTCCCGATCACCATCACTGGGAATATGCACTCACTTTCACTCTCAGGGGGATCACACTCATGACACACTTGGGAGGAGTTGTTGTTTCATGTGAGGGAGGGCGGGAGAGGACGTGAGGGAGGGCGGGAGCGTGAGGAGTGTGCTAGTTTATATAAAGAGGGAATGTCTTCTCTTCTTCCTCACGTCACCTCCACGCTCCAACACTCTCACCTAAACATGTTATGATCTCATGTGAGGGTACTCCTTTATACACTGACGACACGACACGACACGACACGACACGACACGACACCCTCATCTTCTCCGAATGACTCCGTGTGACACATAACCAGATATAAACTAAAACTAATCACTCCATAACACACACACACACACACACACACAAAATAATAAACAACTGCTGATTTATGTACTGTACAGCCCTGTATATGTATTCAATGTATATTATATCATTATGTCTAAATCAAATGTAAGTCTGTATATTTTCAGCCACCGGCTGCAACTCTATTAATAAATCGTTTATTATTATTATTATTATTATTATTAACCCGGCCAGTACCGTCAGGAAGGCTTCAACGCTGACTCGTCAACTATCTACATTGTCTCTATACATAAAGAATCAATATAAACCTGTATGACGACTAATGAGTACATACATCACACGTCAAGGTCAACATTAGTTTAAAACATCAGCACCATAAGGAGTGATGTTTACTTCTTGTACCCCCGATCAACACTCCACAGCCTGTCAACAACAACAACAACAACAACAAACACCTTTATTTTTCATCTCAACACGTGGAGGCAGAGGGAGTAAACGCAGCAAGCATACCAGACAGTCAGGCACACCACTAACACGTGCCGGTGGCGGGGCGGTGTGGCACTGTTACCTGGCACTGATAGCTCTACGTTATAAATACCAACAGTGCCATGCTATACCTGGGGTCTGTGACTCTTTGATCTGATCTGCCTCAGCACATTGGCGGCTACCCTCCTCTTCCGGTGCTGCTTCCCTTCCCCTACCACCACCTTTACCACCATTAACCGCCACCTTTACCACCATTAACCACCACCTTTACCACCATTAACCACCACCTTTACCACCGCCGCCACCTTTACCACCATTAACCACCACCTTTACCACCATTAACCCCTTTACCATTAACCTACCTTTACCACCATTAACCTACCTTTACCACCATTAACCACCTTTACCACCATTAACCACCACCTTTACCATTAACCATACCTTTACCACCACCTTCCACTTTACCACCATTAACCACCACCTTTACCTTACCACCATTAACCATACCTTTACCACCATTAACCGCACCTTTACCACCATTAACCGCCACCTTTACCATTAACCGCCACCTTTACCACCATTAACCACCACCTTTACCACCATTAACCACCACCTTTACCACCACTACTAACATAACTAATTTATTGAGTATTAACGCGACTTGGGTAAGACTGATTTGAGTGAGTGAGTGAGGATGATGATAGTGATCCCTTCGTCACGGCAGGCAGGCAAGTACAGCCAACATCGAGGTGTGTTGTATTACGCCATGCACTACCTGTCACTATACCCTAATTAACACATCACCTGAGTGGACACACCATCCTGCGCTATACCTTCACTACCTATCGAGATATAGACCTTAAACAACTTATATTGAAAAAGGACTGCTCTCTCTCTCTCTCTCTCTCTCTCTCTCTCTCTCTCTCTCTCTCTCTCTCTCTCTCTCTCTCTCTCTCTCTCTCTCTCTCTCTCTCTCTCTCTCTCTCTCTCTCTCTCTCTCTCTCTCTCCTCTCTCTCTCTCTCTCTCTCTCTCTCTCTCTCTCTCTCTCTCTCTCTCTCTCTCTCTCTCTCTCTCTCTCTCATGACCTCCACCGTCACGCCAACAAGACAGACATCAACTAGGTCACCAGAACCATGACGTGAAACACACATAACTTGGGGGGGAGAGCGTTACTTCCTCCCCTACCCCGCCCCATGGACACAAACAACGCTCATTAGTCACAGGTGCACAGCAGTATACTCCACACACCACGCTCTGTTACAATTAATGCTATAGTAACGTAACCACATGTGTGTTAACTACTGTCAGAGGAGAACAGCACAACACAACACATCAAAACCAATACAACACAACACTATATTGGCCAATAAACTCGAGCTAAGCAACACCAGACTAAACATTACACGAGGATAACTATTACTACCACTGTGTTCCTGTGTGTGGGTTAGTGTACACAGAGGGGCGAGGATGACCCCTTCTATAATAGTGGTATGACCTCACACACACACACACACACACACACACACACACACACACACACACACACACACACACACACACACACCGATGATTATGGAACTAACAGAGAGAGAGAGAGAACATATCTTTTTCATAATTGGAAAGTAATGGTGATGTAACACTGAGACACCAAGGCGATGATATGAGAATTGTCTTGGTGTACTTTAAATAATAGAAGGTAGAGGTGTAGGGGAGGAGGGATGCATGGTGGTGACTGAGGAGAAGAGAAAAGGAAGGGGAAGGGAAGAAGAGATGAATAACATAGGAGAAAATGAGAGAAAAGGCGAAGAATAGGTGAAGGAAGGAAGGAAGGAAGGAGGGGGCAGGTCGTCAACACACCTCAACCAGTCAACACGACAATAGTGAAGGTAACACGTGTCTTGGGTCCCGGTGAGAGGCACAACACACTCCTCAGGTGTCACAACCACAACACCAGCATATATATACCATAAAGAACTGACAATATTAGGAATTATTTATGTGTGGAGGACAGGTGTGGAGGAACAGGTGTGGAGGGTAGGTGTGGGGGCAGGTGAGGAGGGTAGGTGTGGAGAGTAGGTGTGGAGGGCAGGTGTGGAGAGCAGGTGTGGAGAGCAGTGCTGTGTGAACCATGACCAGTTACGTGTTCACACCTAACCTAACCTAACCTACACCCACCTCCTCAACTCGTGGGCACAGATACGCAGGTGATGCTCAGAACTGCCAGTCAGCACCACACCACACCAAACCACGCCAGACCACGCCACACCACACCAAACCACGCCAGACCACGCCACACCAAACCACACCACACCACACCACGCCACGCCACAGGTTGAAAGGCGTGGTTGGGTGGAGCTGGTGAGGGCGGGTGTTGGAACAAACACTGCGTCAGGTGGCGTCAGCAGCCTCCGTGTAGCCCACCTGTGCGACACGCGACCACCTCTTACCCTCCCTCCAGCGTCGTGCCTCCTACACTTTACCAGCCTAAGTGCAGGTCTTTCACACATACACACACACACACACATAACGCACACAAGTATCTGGTCCAGTCGTGAATGGGCGTGATGCTGAGGGGTGTGGGTGGGTGTGGGTCTGGTGGGGGGATCCTAAGAGTGCAACAAGCGTGAGAAATAGGGGGAGATAGTGTGAGCATCGAGCATGTCACGTATATAAGAGGAGAGAAGCGGGCGGCGGCCAGTACAGTACCACGGGAGACACACCACCTTCAGAGTGCTCCTCCTCACACCTCTCCTCCGTTACCATAATCTCCAATACTTGATCACAAATTAAAGGAAACTTATCACGTTACCTCAAGTTATCGACAACGGAGAAAAAGGAATATCAACCCCACAAAAACTGATATAAAGTGAGCAGTGTGAGGACTATAGATACTGGTGGTGAGATGTGAGGTGTCCGGAGCTTCGAGAGCCAGTAGGTAGTGAGCAAAGACAACCTGCAGCCCCACGCCACCTTCCCCTCCTGCTGTACCTGCCTCCCTCACTATACCTCCTTCGCGGTGAGTTATCTACCTGTTGCCTCACACATCAGGTACGGTAGGTAGTGTTACAGTACTTGATGTTACTAAAAATATAATCTACAGCACAAACTAGTGATTAATGATAAGATCCTTTTATTAACACCAAACTACACATTTATAAAGTTTTGGGAAGAGTAATGAATTAATGGTGTGTGTGTGTGTGTGTGTGTCCGCAGTGTTAAGAATTGTCAACTAAAATCACAATGAACCAATCAACACTTGGCGTATCCCTGTGACACCCAACTCCTCGTAACTATGGAAACATCAATGGTTAGGTTAGGTTCACACAACACAACGTTTACCATCACCAGTGTTTCCATGAAGTGTTTCCCCTGCTCTCTCTCTCTCTCTCTCTCTCTCTCTCTCTCTCTCTCTAAACAGTCACGCACTAACACTTGATTGTTTTTATGGTTCAATTTGACCACAACAGCCAGTACGTGTTACCTCCCGCTGTCTTGGTAACAATCTCGCTGTCAACGTCGCCCTGGCCAGCCTCACACTCGCCTACACGACACGTAAACACAACACAACACAACACGTAAACACAACACAAGACAACACAACACAACACGTAAACACAACACAAGACGACGACACAACACAACACGTAAACACAACACAAGACAACACAACACGTAAACACAACACGACGACACAACACAACACATCTCACCTCTGTGTCTGGCCTTACCTGCACCACCTCCACCAAACACTAATAAACCACCAAGAGACCCACAACTCCCCTCCCTCCGTCACAAACAACCATTGAACTACAACCAAGACGTCACACCAGTAGGCACCCTCACTCATTGTTACACCGAGAGAACTCTAATGGCTAACAACTTGTTTTATACTCGAATATAACGTTAACTTTATAGCATCATTCATTGTACAATTAGTGTCAGTGACGTTTAAGGTTAGGTGGTGGCGGTGGTATAGTGATAGTGGTGATAGTGATGATAGTGGTGAGTGGTGATGGTGATGGCGGTGGTATAGTGATAGTGGTGAGAGTGATGAGAGTGATGATGGTGAGAGTGATGATGGTGATGGTGGTGGTATAGTGATAGTGGTGATAGTGATGATGGTAATGATGGTGGTTGTGATAGTGGTGGTGATGGTGATGCGGTGGTATAGTGAGTGGTGATAGTGATGATGGTAATGATGGTGGTTGTGATAGTGGTGGTGATGGTGATGCGGTGGTATAGTGGTAGTGGTGATGATGACGGTTGGTAGACACACACCATAATGTCATACACTACAGGAGGTCACCAACAGCATCAAAACAATATTATTACGTGTTTTACCTAAAGCCCCCCATCTTGCCAACATCACTTATCATAAATTAACTTTTCCTCAAAGACTTATTAAATGTTAACTTCCGACACTGAATAAACTAGATAAAACATGACACAGAAGCGGCAGGTGTGTGGGTGGTCATCTCTCTCTCTCTCTCTCTCTCTCTCTCAGCAGGAGGTATCATTCATCACAGATCTCGTCTCTCTCGACCTCCACCATAAAATATACATTCCTCTTAGACTTCTGGAGGTATGTGAGGCAGTAGTTGATCGTGTTCTCACTCAGTCACTCACTTGACATGTTCTCCAGTCAGTGAGAGGGGTGAGGTGTGGAGGGGTGAGTGTGTGAGGGTGAGTGTGTGAGGGTGAGTGTGTGAGGGGTGAGTGTGTGAGGGTGAGTGTGTGGGAGGGTGTGTGGTGAGTGTGTGAGGGTGGGGAGTGTGTGAGGGGTGAGGTGGAGGGTGGAGGTGTGAGGGTGAGGGGGGTGGGGGGGTGTGTGTGAGGGTGAGGGGAGGGGTGAGGAGGTGAGGTGAGTGTGAGGGTGAGTGTGTGAGGGTGAGTGTGGGTGAGTGTGTGAGGGTGAGTGTGGGGTGAGGGAGTGTGTGAGGGGTGAGGGGTGGAGGGGGAGGGTGAGGGAGGGGTGAGTGGGGGTGAGGGTGGGTGTGGGGTGGGGAGTGTGGGGAGGGGTGAGTGTGTGAGGGGAGGGGTGAGGTGTGGGGGTGAGTGTGTGAGGGTGGTGTGGGGTGAGGGTGGGTGAGGGTGGGGGTGGGGAGGGTGAGGGGTGGGTGGGTGAGGTGAGTGTGGGTGAGTGAGTGTGGGTGTGTGGGTGGTGAGTGTGTGGGTGGTGTGGTGAGTGTGTGTGTGTGTGGGTGAGTGTGGGTGTGTGGGTGAGTGTGGGTGTGTGGGTGAGGGAGAGTGTGGGTCTGGGTGTGGGTCAATGTGTGAATGAGTGAAGGCGAGGAAGGTGAGGAATTAGGTGGTGGGCGTGGAAGAGTGGGCGTGAGGCGTGAAGAAAGCGTGACATAAGTTGCCATCACCCACAGTCAACACGCCTTCTCGAGCACACCCCCCTACGCCCACAACCTGCGTCACCCTCCACCCGAAGAAATAGACGATGCCAGTCATATCCTGGTTTTCTCTGAGCGCCTTTGTGTCGTAGCGTGAAGGGTGTTCCTCCCTCCCTTTCTCACCACCCACCGAGCCTCTCCACCCTAACTTATCCCGCCCTCTCTCTCTCTCTCTCACAAGCCCCACACAGAAACTTTATAAAGACTTCAGTAAACTATATATTATCCAATAACAATGTAACATCAGAGGTATATATAAAAAATCCCATATTTACGTCGTCTTACTCAAATTCTATTATCTGTGTCAGTCTCCCCTCGATAAGTTTTCCCTCGGTAGTGTGTTATTAGTGATGTAACCGACGTAAAATATATCAACTCTCTATAAAATTATTTCTTCTATAGCCAGAGTCGTCCTCAATATTCAGTTAGTTTATAGAACGTAAACCTGTATGTTTCTTTTTAGAGGAAATTATATATGTAAAATAATTCAGTAAATGGGACTAGTTAAGTTATAGACTAAATAATGTTTTCTATGTATAAGCCGTATAATAATTTTGAGTTTTTCAGTATTAATAATAAAAGTGTTGAAAAAAAGCTGAACATTACAAACAAACAAACGGATGACAGCACAAGAACAAGACAGCTGTGATGACGTCTAAAAAAAAACAGAGCTTTTCCAGGAGTTTGAAATTATTACCTACAACTATCATCACCAAGACAGTTTGCATCGACCACTATATATCAACCAGTCTAGAATTCTGTTCACACACACACACACACGTGGTCATCACCGTTATATAGGGATTAAACTGTCCTCTGTACCACACACTTCCTCCCTCCCTCCACCAAGATCAAACACCTCCACTACCTCTCTCCCTCCTTCCACACGCACCACCCCCCCCCCCCTCCAACACCTACACTCACGCGATCCTCCAACACATCACCAATATAAAGGTGTTGGTAAAGGGAGATTCACCACTTTCTCAAACATTCATCTCGGGTTTACGGAGACAATCTTTCTGCAGGTAATAATAAAAAGCTTTCTCTTACTATCTGGTGTAGCGTCACTGTTACTGAGAGAGAGAGAGAGAGAGAGAGAGAGAGAGAGATGGTTGATGAGGAGCGTAACTGAATTTCATTATCTAAGACTTAAATTGAGATATCGAGTGAGATAGTTAAGAGATACGTGAAACTATATATTGTACTGTATATATATATATATATATATATATATATATATATATATATATATATATATATATATATATATATATATATATATATATATATATATACGCGCGCAAATAACGAAGCCGACAGCCAATAAAAACTGTTGAAATAAATTACAGTAGGAATTAGCATCGTGTCCCCTCCCCTCCACATCTTAGCCTCTTAGAACGGCCATCAACAAACAAGGTCTCTAAGATGATGATGATGATGATGATGGTTATTATTATTACTATTATTATTATTATTATTACTATTATTATTATTATTATTATCATCCAGACAAACTAAACATCAACACTCAGTCATGTATCCAACATCCAAACACACCCCACATCCACATCACTACCCAGACAAACTTTACATACAGGAGACGGTCATGATTTAAAGCACTTCCACACCTCACCTACTTCCTCCACTGTAATGATCCGGGTTCATTCAGCTACACCCCCATGAGAACTATGTCACTCTCTCTATCTCTTTCTCTGCATCACTGACTTCTTAAAACTCACCAGTACACTGAGATTTTATGCTGGAGGACCACCCACCCCACCCCACCCACCATAGCCTCGTCATGGTAGCGGCCACAAGGTACATTACTTCTACAGTATTATGTAAACAGACCAATGAGGAGTGATAATGGTACAGTCGGTGTCCAGGAACGTGTGGGGGTAATGTTCATAAACACAGACACATAGGAGTTAACTTAGTACACAGATCTATATTAGTTAAAGACTGAATAATATTGGAAGGTAGAAGTTAAAATAGTGCGTCAAGGTAGACCATAAACAGAGACACACACGTCCATCTGCCCGTAACATTACAACAACAACCATAAATCCAGATCCCTTTTAAGTTCCAGTAAGTTACAACGTATTGATTGTTATAACTCTGGCATTACCGTGACGTCAGTTTACAGGGCGTGACGAATTTTATTTGCTTAACATCTCGACATGATCGTTATAGTGATTTCAAATGAATGGCACTTGAGTAAAAGCAGTATTGGTTTATGTTGATACTGGTTATAAAAGCCATTATTTTCCCAGAGTAATGACGCAATTTTAAATTACAGACATATCCACGTTAATTTATCCCCGCCAGAAACACGTATTTACAACTGCTGTATGTGTGTTGTGTGCTAGACAAAAGGTCGCATACGTGTTACACCTTCGCTCTGTCACCCACTCCCAGCCACCCACCACAGCCTCCCAGCCACCCACCACAGCCTTCCAGCCACCCACCACAACCTCCCAGCCACCCAACACAGCCACCCAGCAGCAGTGATTGTGGTGGGGAAGACGCACATAACTTCCGCTTCCTCTGTGAGCGTCTCTATTTGTTGACCTTGAACCGAGTGACCCACTGAATGAGTTCGTGGCCCGGTGCTCCCTCGCTCGCCTCCTCCCGCCTGACGTAAGAGTACACACACACACCGGGGGCGGGTTAGGTTAATGTAAACAATAATTTTAATGTGAGGAGAAAGCGTTGTACAGTCAAGGGCGGTGTTAAGGTGGACAAGGGGGCAAGAGGGTGGGTGAGATCTAAACACTATGGAGAGGGTTGAAAAAAAACAGGGGGATGGTTAGGTGAGATGGCCGCCGCTGACCACCACCACCACCACACATTTTACGCTCCCTTAGCCATACTTTCTACCCTCGATAATAACAAAAGACCCGGCCACGCCTCCATGACCACCCTAATCACACGTCCCCTTTCCCACGCCCCCCCCCCTCCGCAGTACACAGGTCCGACACGCGCCTCCCAGCCCCCCCACCCCCTCCCATCAATATTGGAGAAGGGAAAGTTTAAATAGAAATCCTCTTCTAAAGGATTTTTAAAATGAATGGCGAGCAGATACAATCAAAGAGATTCATTTACTGTTGTAGGTGAGAGTGGAGGTGTGTCCAGTTGCCTGTACCAGAGCCGAACGTGACGAGGGCAGTTTTGTTGTTGTCGTTTTGTTCTTTGTTTTAAGTTGTTCTCTTGTTGTTATTGCTATGTTCTTGTTATTGCTTTAGTGTAGTTTATGGCTAAAATTGTAACCAATATATTCTGTTGTTGGCCAGAATCCAAGCTTCATCCTCCTCCTATCAGTTCGTTCCCCTCTTTAATACTGTACAGGTCACAGTATAACTCAGTGTTACCATCACCCAAGAGTAACTTAATAAGTGTTGCCATATCACCTCCACGGGGAAGTAAACACTGATGACCCACACTCACCTTTCAGGGTCAATTCTCTTGTTTTTTGTCGACAATTTTACATGTTTAGTTTAACGATTCTCTAAGACATTTCTTCACAAGTTTCGTGATGTTTAATGTTTTTACAAAGTTCTTACACAATCTCTCTCAGGTTTTTCAGGAAGTTTGGGTGTAATTCAGTGCTTTTCGTTGGTGTTTATATTCAATACTTAAAAAAAATATTAACTCAATGATTTCATTTATAATTTAAGTTATTTTTATATTTTCTTACAAACTTTATGAAAACAGTTATTGAACCTGAACAAAGGCAATGAAATTCTTATAGTTGAGAACTTCAGCCAGCTAGTAGTTCACCCTCACCTCTCTGTCGCCAGGCTAGTCAGTCACTGGCCTGTATATCCAATTAGGAATTCAATTATTAGAGAGACCACAAGAGCTAGTGAACATAAAGGGAATCCAATACTCCACTCCGGTCAGGAATTCAACTCGAGCATTTGCATGCAAGGTGTATGCTCTTTAGAGACTAGATGAAATACATCAGTTTATGCGTCCAAATATGAGAGTTTACAATTTTGAGCTTTTGTCCAAGAATGTACTAACATGCTCCACCCCTCCAGGATGAAGAAACATTTATCATCACCACCACCATCACCACCCTTTTTCTTTTATTTACGGGGAATAGCCCACCCGGGCACAAGTCATCGAACCACAACGGGGCCTACGAGGGTCGAAAAAATAAGAGTAAAAAGAAATTAAAAACAGAAAAGAAAAAGATTATATTAATCTACACCACGGGGATGCCAGAAAACCAGCTTTTTGAACGAGACAGATTGTATGAGTAAGGAAACACAGAAGGCGGCAGAGCATTCCATAGTTTGGCTGTGTGAGGAAAGAAGGATGTACTATAACGGGTCATTCTAGTGTGAACGACATTCACAGACAACGGTGGGCACCGCGGACAAGACAGTGTTACGTGCCCACGGCCTTGTCGGCAGTACACAGGATGCCAAATCCACCGAACATTGCCCGTTAAAGTACCTGTAATAGAGAGAGTGTGAAGCAACATTGTGGCAAAGAAAAGGGGAAGAGAGATTATCAACTAAAGGAGAAGAGTTAATAAGATGAAATGCCTATGATTACACCCTCTCTATCAGTTGGACTACAGAAAAGCAACCCCAGATATGAGAGCAATACTTCAAGTTAGGAAAAATGAATGCCTTATAAAAAAGTAGCTACTGCATCTGTACAGCATTCCCAACTTTCGGGAGGCAACTTTAGCAATGTTGTGGATGTGTGGCTTCCATGACATATTAGAGGAAATGGTGAGTCCTAGTATATCTATTTTAGAATTTGACAGAATGACTGCGTCCTGAAATGTAATTGGTGGGAGATCATCTGATTTGGAGAGTGTAATTGGTAAATACTGTGTTTTATTACTCTTAAACTCAACCCATTCGAAGATGCTGCACAGATCTGCATTGATGGATGAAATGATATCAGCTCTAAAAACAGATCTAGTTTGAGAATTAGGGGAAAGGGGAAAAGGTGAAGAGTGATGAGTGGAATCATCAGTATAAGAATGAATAGATTACCTTTGCAGGAAATTTTAACAAAATCCATGGTATGACCCTAGGTGCCAAAATGCAAGGTATTAGGTCAGGTGTATTTTTGACGTCAAACGACATTTTTTTTTAAATTGAAAACTAACATGTTTATATAGTAAAGATAGTCTATGTTTTTAAGAAAATGTATATAAAGATGATTTAAAACTTACGGGCACAGTGTAATTGACTTTTTAAATATCTTTAATTATTTCAAAGGTCAATAATCAACACTTATTACTCGAAATTTTAAACTGTGAACCCAGATCCTCAAACTTGCAAACCACGATCCGTGCATCTTTCATAACTTATCTACGAGGTTTCTAATGAATTTTCGAACACTGATAAATGAAGATGACATTACTGTTTATCTTTCACCTACCTCTTTCAGGACGACTCAACTCACGCCAAGGTTGTGTCCACTGGTTGAGGTGACCACTCAATAATCATGCATACCAACACCCCCCCCCCCATGACTCAGCCTCTCCTCACATATCATTCAATCTATCACACTCACCTTCAGCTGACCTGTTAAGCCTTCCGGTTACAGCAACACTCACCTAGGAAGAGATGAAATAAGGTTAATTTTCAGAAGTACAACACAAATTAAAGTACAGTACAAGTTAATAATAATAACAATAATAATAATAATAATAATAATAATAATAATAATAATAATAATAATAAGTTAATTTACAAAGAATCACGGACTTGTACAAATAGGTCTACTTATAATAATATATAGAAGTGGGGGAGGGGGAGGGTGTTATGGGAGACTGAAGGAAGATGAAGACGTGGAAGTTTGTTTGAGTTGGAACAGAACAGAAGTAACGAGGTATTTCAGATCTCTGGGAGTAGATGTATCAATGGATTGAACAATGGCCAATAAATTAAACATCTGAACAAAAGGTTAATGAAAAAAAATTCACTGGTCAGTGTATATGGCGTCCTGTTTTAACACACTTGGTCATGAAACATTATTGTCATTATTCTTTTTTACTTGGACATGTACTGGTGATAAGTTAGAGGCAATTGCCCAAGTTCTAGCATAATATGTAAAGCAGCTGTGTCATATTTAGCTTCACTCTCTCAAATTAAATTTTTGGGGGGGGCTTTATCAATTTCTCCACCAAATGTCAAGCTTCACAACACAAATATAATTTATAAACTTTGACGGCAGTATCATATAGAAATTATGTTACTTTGAGTCAAGATCGATTTTAATTATAATTATTTTTCAGATGTGGAAACAACCAATATGGACACTACTGATATCCTGGGTAGGTGTTTGTACAGTGGTCAGCTTGATCAAGGAGACAGAGGCCCAGCACCTGAAGGAGGAGGCCCAAGCACCGGCACAACGTCAAGACTCGTGGAGAAACACGTTACCGCAGGGCGTACTCGTACCTTCACCAGCGGTCGTGATGCCGGTATATTTTGATCCTCAAGACCGCAGCATCAATTCCAATCCCACAGATAACAAGGTGGAGCTAAGGTCAGTGGGATGGGCAGGGATAGGTGACATTCCAAACAACATGTTGCCACCACCAATAGAACTGCCCAAGTGGGTGCCAGACTACAAACCAGTCAAGGAGAAACACTGGGATGCAATTGTCCATGCTCTAACTGTTAACAATGGCCAACCTTTGCTATCGGACACTTTCCATGAACCAACAACAAAGCCACAACCAACAACCAAGCCACAAGTAGTTACATCATTACCACTTCCTACAAAACCTTCAGATACTTGGGTACCCACTAATACCTCATCTTTAGCAATGATCTTTTCAAAGTTTAATGACACTCTCCCACTGCAAGATTCTACAAACAGCAGATATTATTCACCTTACAATACATCCAAAATTTACGGAAGAAAAGATTCCCTCGAAGAAGCCGTGGATGAAGTGTTAACGTCCACGACTTTCAATCCTCTTGAAGTTTTCCTTCCAGACCACGTGCGCCGCCGCCCATACCAAGAGGTGCCTCAACGAAGGGAGAGTCAGCAACAGAATATTGTCTCGGCATTTAACACAGAAAGTCATTATCAGCAACCCGAACCGAATTCAAATCGAAGCAGAAATACCTCAAAGCCTCTTGAGTATACCACATGGCCAAATGTTGGACAAGACACTACACATGACCAAAACACAAATATGCATGACTTAACACAGCCACAGCAAGGGAATAAATTGTCTAATTCTGATATATTTGTTCCACAAGTTCGGTATGTGAATCAAGGCCCTCAACACAGAGTTACACCATCAATAATAACAAAACAAATTCCTCAGATCAGTCATTTAAGGACGAGTAACTCACCAAGGCCACACAGAGCACCAATAACCCCACAGTACAGACAATGGCCACTGGTTACACACACAGATAATTCCCAACCACAAACGTCTCAGGTCGTCCATGGTCACAGATTAATTAGTGCAGTAAAGGACACTTTCCCAACCAGTCAACCAATAATTGTAGTCAGAGATTCAAAAACAAAACAAACTTCAGACTCGGCTACACAATCCCCAAATGAACAACAAAATCAAGAAACCCTGACTGAGGGCCTCCAACAACAGGAAACAATAGCTCGTATTATTAATAATAAAAATTCTAGAGAGGAAACAGAAGGAGTAGTTTACACCCAGCCATGGCTACATGCTGTTGTACAAAATGACCTCAAGAACTGGGGTTTCCCTTATGACAAAGAAGCCCTCCAACACATTCCACCTGGCTACTCCCACGCACCACCACAGTCCCCTCGAGTTAGGCGTAAAGAAAACAACAACTCTTTCATTTATTTATCAGATGAAGTACAAGATCAAAAGAACAAGTCTCTTTCCCCCTCAGTAAATGCTCACCACTTGGCAATAGTTGAAGCACCAAGTAAACCAACCAATCGGCCTTTAGCCATCAAAAATGTTCATGTAATAGCACCTAAGCCTGATCACGTACCACCTATACCCCTCTTTCGACCAGCTGAGAAGAAACCTTTATATGCATCACCTTATGTGGTGAATGGTGAACCGACTCAACCTTTAGGCCAGGAAGGTGACAACTCTTTCCTTGTAATTCCCTACCCAGTTCAGGATCCTGACACTCAAGACCGCAGCTCAAACCTCTATCCTGTTGCTATACCCCTCGAGAAACCTTCCAGAAGACAGGACATTAATCCTATTCAAATGATCATGCAGCCTATTCGTAACATACTTCAGATTGGCAGAGTTGCCAATGTATCACTTGGTAGAAGACCTTTGTCTACACAACAAACTTTAAATATTCCAGGTCTGGTGCAGCAATTAGGAACAAGAGAAGAAACACCTGCCCCACTAACAGTACTTGCACCACCACCACAACTAAGAGAACTACCCCAATCTTCAGCCACACCTCTGTTCCGTATAAAGTTTCCAGGGTTTGGTCCTCCAAAAGGGGAGGATGTGGTTATAATGTCAGATAATTTAAATAATCAGAAAGCTAAACCAGAATTAACAAACCCAGCATCTCTAGCAGGTCTGCAAGAACCAAATGTACCCAGAGCTACTCTGCCTCCACCTCCTTCACAAGAGCTGCAACAACAAGCTGTCAACATTCAGCCTCCATCTTTTGGTACAATACAAGCACAATCCATCGCATCTACAGTTCCTCACAGTCAGCCTCTGGTTACATCTGATGAAGGTCACTCAGGCAGGCCAGTGAAGCAACACCCAACAGCAGATGTACCTCTAAGTGCATTTCAACTACCACTACAAAATCCAACTGCCAATTTTCAACCTCCTGAGCAGTTTCAATTTCAACAAAATTTTCAGCCTCCCCAGGAGGTTCAAGTAAATGATTTTCAACCTCACCAGCCGGATAATTTTCAGTCTCCACAACCTGTATTTGGAAATTTCCAACCATTTCCACCCTCACATGGTGAAACACCACCACCAGTACTGAACACTCATACCCTGACACAACCCACAAGTCCTCCCACAGCTATATTTGTCCCATGGCCAAACACACAAAATGGCAATGGTGATGCTCCACCTCCACCCTTGGCTTCACTAGGGCTTACTGACCTTCCACTAAATGAAGTTCCTCCACCGATAAGTTCCCCTTTCCCCAGACATCCTTTGACCGCACGTCCTTTTAACCTGCCACCTCTCCCAAACATGGACTTTCTGAACCCTTTCAATATGTTCCGAAGTCGGGAAAACACACAAGTGACAAATAACGGCTTTCCCTTTTTTTCCTCATTTTTCTCCAAAGCAGATAACGAGGCAAGTTCTTCCATAAATAAAAAAGAAATTGAAAACCCAGCATTCAGAACAAACATCAAGACGCAGGAACCTCGACAACAAGCTTTACCGCTGGAAGACGGGCCAGACAAAGACTCTAGCATGGACTTCCTGAGGGATGTTAGGAGTAGTAAACCCTTGGCGGCAGAAGAAACCGGTTTTAATTTCATGCCTCACTTACATCCAATCTTAAGGGACGACACCATAAACTCTCCTCAGGTACAATCTAATCCCTCGTTAGTCACAGGTAATTCACACCCTGTAAATTATTCGTTGTCCAAGCCACTCATTCGCCCACCTTCACGTATTCACAACATTAACCGCAATAGACTTAACAGACAGCATTTATTAGGCAACCGGCGTCCAACATCAGTTACACAGATCGCTAATCAACATACGCCCGAAATTCGACCTTTAGTCAATCAGTATCCTCTTTCCTCTCCACCTGGGCTGATCCATCCAAGGAAAAATGCACAAGTGCCACTTTTTAAGACAACGCAGAATCCTACCTCACAGCAAGAACCAGCTGGGGTCTCTGGCAGCCTCCAAGAAAGCCAGGTTAAAAAATACACACCAATAAGACATGAAAACCTTCAACCAAATAACAATCACAGCATACCCAAACCTTTGAGTCGTCCATCATACCCAACGACACAGAGGAGCAACGGGGCCAAAATCAATCCCCAGACAAATCCCGCTCATCCAGTTTTCTCAGGACCTCAGTCAAGGCAAGAGACTTTTGAACCTAGACCTGATATGATCCACTTCACAATCGATGATGTTGTGCACCGTCCTGGTTCATTCAGTCGGGTTAATCAACAACCTAAATTTACACAAACTTCAGAAATTGGTAGAAAATCACAACATGACTATTCAGCTGAAGATGATATGGATTTATCACCGTCTGAAGAAACAATCACAATAGCAAAGTTCATACAACCATCACAGCCCAATAAACCAACCACACTTACCATGCAAAGGATTACCCCAACTCCATCTACCATCACTGCTCAATCATCTTCAACAAAAATGACACGTTTACCTTCTGGCCTCCAAAAAACAACCACAGTCTTCCAGGCTGGGACTACACCTCGAGTAAACACAACTCCAAGAACTCCACACACAAAACAACCTAAGACTCACCAGACTCGGGTAACTCTCTCAACACCGACCATGTTTAAATATCGACCAAATACTAGTCCCACTAACTCAGCTTCACATCCCCCAACAACTTACAGGCCTCACGTCAGTCATGATGTTACAGTCACAAGCAAGTCTTCCTTCTTCCCTGCTCATTGGGGAATCACACTACCAGTGTTATCACAGACAAAAACTACTACCCCAGCGAAGGAACCAAAGAACAGTGAAAGACAATACCTCCCCTCAGCAGCCTCATCCAGGATTACCATCATTGAAGCTACACCTATGCCAAAGCCTGGAGAAATCTTTCCAACACTGAAAAATTTCCAAGCATATATGTCACCCCAACCACCTACCACCACAACAAACCCTACAACAGTGCCAACAACACCAACAACAACAACAGTCACAACAACAACAGTCACAACAACTACACCGTCGACCACAACCAACAAAATTTCAACAACAGAAGGGAGTGAAAGAGAATCGGTAAAACTAATTGATGTCACATCATTTCGTCCTAAGGGAAAGCATGCAACACGTCCCCAGCCTCCAGGCTTGATGAAGATCAGAAAGAGGCCAGAAATAATGATGCCGGGAAGGTGGAACTACCGAACTATTGCCAAACCACCACAAATAGAATCAGACTCACTCATCAATAATAACGATAAAAATAACAGTAAGGAGCCACGCATCATTACTCATAACAGGTTCAAGGTGCAATATAATTCACCTCCAAGAAAAGTCTTTCATATGAACAGACCAACACCTAAACCTGCTCTACTAACAGAAAAGTTCTCAACTACCTCATCATCATCATTACCCACCACCAGCACCATAGTTACTGACAAAATTCAGAGTCGTCCCTTTGTTGTTCCGTCACCTACTTCCATAGACGTGACAGTGGACCGGCCCATTACAACTCCAAGAACAGAGAGTCAGAAATCCCAAACTGTAGTACTTACGACATATCCTTCGTCAAACATGGACAGTAAAGTAACAGAAGAAAAACAAGAGGATCATATAACAGACACAGATATCACAACCCCACAATACCTTGACACTACAACACAAACCACAATATCAACACCTGTTACCTCTTTACCACCTGTTATTACCAAAACTCCGATATTTAGTTCCATTCAGCGACTGCGCAACTTTATGACAAACAGGAGAAAAAATAAGACACCTGTAACGCCACAAACAACTGCCACGTCAACTGAAGGTACACAGACCTCTGAACAAGGAGAGGAAACCCTGATTAATGATTCAACAATGACCAGCCCAAGAACACCATCTGCTGCAAGAACTAGACCAAGTTTATCATTTGCTACAATACCCAGATCAAGTACATCACCTTCTACCATACTGAGATCAAGTACATCGCCTTCTACCATACTAAGATCAAGTACATCATCTGCTACAATACCCAGATCAAGCACATCACCTTCTACCATACTAAGATCAAGTACATCATCTGCTACAATACCCAGATCAAGTACATCACCTTCTACCATGCTACAATCAAGTACACCAACTGTCCCATTACCCAGATCAAGTACATCATCATCAGTAAGATCAAACTTCAGAATGTTCGGTGCATACAGGACTCCAAGAGACAGCAGAAAAACCTCCCCATCAACGAGTCCACCAATACTGCCTCCCACAACCACGACGAGAAACCCGAGACACATCACTGGTGGTACCACATCAACGTCAACTGGGGTGTCAAACTTTAAGGACAGCGACCACGAACACAGTGGCAGCAGCAGCTCCACCTCACACTCCTGGAATGAACCTATTGAGGAAATGTTTCTCCAAGGCCATCCAGAGATGACTGATTTTTATAACTGGGAGTCAAGCCGTCTCGACACATCCGACCAGAGTGATTCAAGCTTTCCTGAAGAAGATCAATATTACAGTCCAAGTGACGGTGAGATTCTCTTGCCCGGAGCTTCTGAAGTTTCTCCGGTGACTGTGGAACCATTCTGGCAACCTTTCAGAGCCCTTGCTTCAAATGAGTCAAGTCATCTGAAGTCCTCCTTCGGTAATCAGCTTGTGGTCTCACCCCAGTACACTTCCATTGCTAGAAGCACACCAAAGAAGGTAGAGCATAACTCCCAAACTCGTTTAGGACGCATGCTTGAGAATATATTCAATCCAGTTCAAAAGCTATTTGTAATATCAGTTCCACCTATAAAGTTCAAATTCATATATGAAGTTCTTTTTTCTGACTGGAACTACTAAATCAAAGCAAACTGATCTCTCTTCTCCGGACAGGTGCAGAAGGTAACACCCTCAGGTACAGCAACGGCGCGTGGACCTCCCTGATGGGAAGTCTGGGTCAGGGCAAGAACCCATATAGCCACGTCGTCCACTCCATACACAGTAATGATCATAAAGATTTCATAAAAATAGACTTACCGGGTATTTGTGATATTTTATTGCACAATGTGTTCAAGATTTTTTATTTTTTTTAACAAATAAGCATAAACATAACCACCATATTTTGTACCCTCTAGCACTCCATTTCATGATACTGATGGTAACAAAATATTATGAATTTACAACACAAAAATTATTGAGATATGTGTCATAATGACTCTACATACATTCACTAAATCCTCATGAACTTCCAAACATTTAAAAGATACTCATCTGCTGGTCGTGCATTGCTTTCACTTCTGCCCTTGAAAGTGAATGTGGCTGAATTGCCTATTACCTGATCAACACTTTACATCACCTACAATACAATATACTGTGCTGACACCCTTTCAATACACACAACCATCTTGACTTGGACTTCAGGTATTCAAACACTTTTTTCATAATATGTATAAATATATATTGTGAACACCATCAAGCTTCTGAAATCATGAAGTGAGTAATGATTGTTTTTAGAAGTTGGGTGTAAACTGTAATGGAAATTATCCAATTTTGTTCTTGTCTGCCCCTGTAAATAGTGTTTGATCACAGCAGTAGGCGGTGGCTGGACCATCGTCTCTACATGTATAGTTCAGTATTAGTCTTCTAGTGTAAGTCACCAATCAATTCATTAACTCTTTTATAACATGTACAGTTTTTATCTTCCTCTCATGTGGCTGCTGTACTAATGTATGTTTCTCTCTCTCTTATAATAACCACATAACATACACCATAAAAGTTATCTTAAATTTGCTTTCATCATCATTACTCTAAAAGAGTATTTCCAGTCTACTAATGTTTCATCATTCACACGTAATACAAATTTACCACAACTGATTTATGAAAATTTTACAAGCAATAATTCACTGCATCTTCACTACTCAATATTACAGTAGTTTCAGGTGAATTCTCCATTTATCTTCGTATATGTTTAGTGTTTACTTAAGCAACACCTTTTATTTCATCTCTACACTTCATCCTAACTATACAGTAACAAAACACTACAACACAATAAATTGGTACAATTCTGTCTCCACAGCACCAAAGAGTGATTCTGAGTTTGTATATAAAGTGTGGCTGGCCAGATGTTTTTATTATAGATGGCTATGAGGAGGAGACTGTCATGCCAACACCTCATGCTGACCAACCTAACCAACATAGTACAGCATTATATTCCATTACTTTTATTTCAAATTACATGAAAGATTGTTTTCAGTTACAGTTCACTCGATATAAGAACATATATTTACAGTTATAAAGCTCTTTAAATTCAACTTTGTTACGAGAGGCATCCCTGGCCACTAATTGTATACATGATATAGAGTCATCACCTTCCAGCCATCATTAATAATTACATTTATAATATATTTTCAACTGACACCATCTAGGTAGACCTTATTTGATTCTCCAGGTCTTGTTTGCTGTCTGTCCTTCACTTTCTGTACTCATTAATAAACACAATGTATCACTGATGACAATTTATTACTTGTATGTTATATATATACTGTATATATATATATATATATATATATATATATATATATATATATATATATATATATATATATATATATATATATATATATATATATATATATATATATATATATATATATATATATATATATATATATATATATATATATATATATATACACATGTATATATATATATATATATATATATATATATATATATATATATATATATATATATATATAACTTTACACCACGAAAATAAAGTTTATAACTCAACAAACATTTTGAAAATAAGTCAGGTCCAAAATATAGCATTTGTTTTATAAAAGATGATAAAACTTAACATTATAAATAAAGTTTTAATTTTTGTACAGTCATTTATCTTCATTTTACCCTCCTCCACTCTCCTATAAATATATACTGTATGTTGTGTCTTTGTTTTACTCCTAAATAGGACTCTTGAGACTGGCCAATGTCCTCACCCAGGTCAGGTCTTACAGGGGGGACTGTAACAATGGTGGAAGAACTTGCTTGTTAACAATACATTGTAACTGATTAGAAAGATGTGAAAAGATAAACAGAAGAATTACAATAACACCAAGGAAATGGGAGACTGGGTAGGAAAGAGGTGTGTTTGAGGGAGAAACAGAGAAATTTGGTCACGGGCGTGTTGAGTTTGACCAGGTTATATCCACCTCACTGGGTAATCCTATACTGTACATATCTATATCTAAGGAAGCGGTAAAAATGAGGCAATAATGAGATCAAACAACGAGAAAATTGAGTGGATTTGAAAGAGGTAAAAGACAGAGCATATTCCTCAACAGAAACCTCACAGATGACCAGAAACAAGACCAAGATTCAAGTTAAGAGTCATTAGAAGTATAGTCATAGAAAGACAGCACATCACACACCTGACCAAACATTACAAACAAGATCATTCTGTGACTATATACCTGTTCACTGATTGCTCTCCACCCAAGATCATCTGTACGATCACACTCATATGTTTCACCAAGGAGGGGGTTGAAAGGCTTTGCTGTTCTCACAGCTGTTGTGGCATAAGAAGAGACTGTAAATGCAGCAACCAGCGACAACTGTTCACACGTATCCTCTGCCTGTAACACGAGAGAAAAAAAATTAACATAGTGGATGACCTGCGGGATAGGTTAACCTTAAATAAAAAGCAGCAAAGAAAAAATGGAAGTAATTTAAATGATTTACTTCATGTTACATAATTCTCTTAACCATTTTGCTACATTTCCCGCACGTGTCATTTTATTCTGGCTACCCGCCAGACGATTGTATTTAGCTTAGGGTAGCCTTCTGCAGCCAAAGGGTTAAGTCATTATTACAAAGGTGATCATGAGGAGAAAAAATCCTTCGATGTTAATGATGCCAAGGTAAAAAATACAAATGAGAACAAACAACATCGAACTACACAATAATGAACAAAATAACTTGATAATAAAACAAATATGACCAAGATATTTGATTGTCACCTAAAAGCTTGTGATAAATTATACATGAACTACCGGCTGACAAACTTTAGACATAAATGATATAAATCACAGAATATTGCATTGACCAGATAATGTTTACTAACCTGTGATGCTCTGTCCAAAATGTCACTATATTCAAAGTCTTCTGTTAATCGTTGCAAGAATGATAAGGGTTCACTAAAGTTAACCTGAAAAGAACAAAAAAACATCAGAAAATTGTATTTTTATTCTACAATCACTCTTTCTCTCTGTCTGTCTGTCTGTCTGTCTGTCTCTTTCGTACATGCATTGAAAGTTAATTATTCAAATAATATTAAACAAATATGTAAATACTATATTTAAATCACCTATAAAGTTATAAATTTGAAAATATGAACTTAATTTATTTTACATTTCATATTGCATGAGTCTGGCATAAAATAGTTACAAGAATTCTGTAAAAGTGCATCAAGGTCACCATATGACCCTGGCCTTTGCAGCCCTAAGATAGTATTCATAATCATTCATTCATTCCTCCTCAATACACTTTCCTGCCTTGTCCCTTGATAAAACTAGGACGTCACACAGGAATAAACACAGTCACAAACAGACTAAGTCCATAAACTAAAATGAAAACAATTGCCTAAACATAATATTTCTGCCATAATCTGTCTCAGGATCCAAGCATATAATTAAGAAAAATGTGTTAATGGTATGAGAGCACATTAATTCACTGGTAATGGAAGGTATAGTACTTACTGGCATGGGGATTTTAGAGAGTTCCTTTCCTATGCAATTTTTCATAATAGACCATAGATTAATAGGATAATTTGGTTTTTCTGGGACGCGGGATCGGCGCTGACGCTTGGGCCGCCCGTTAGCCTGTTTCATCTCATTTTCCGTTGGTGTGGTGGCTTGAGACCCATTCAGGCTGGCCATTTCTTCACTTAACTGTAATATACGAAGAAGAAAACATATCCTAAATCTTAATGTACACAAAAAACTTAAACCAAAAACTAGAAAACTGATCATTAAAACAGTTACCCCCACCTTGAAGTATCTATGTCAAGCTCTGATAGGATTATTAACCTAACAACACTACCCTCAATATTAAATAGTTTCCTCCTTGACAAATACCCAACCAATATCTTGAATCATCTACCTAAATATATATTCTACTCCTTCATTCCTGACAAACCTCACTGCATCTGAGTTGTCCCTCTTCTGCTTAATCCAATATTTCACTGTATACTTGTGATTTTTAGTGTTGTTCTATGATATTGACAAGAATTTTACTATATTTGCACTGTACATCACTACAAGCACCTCTATCCCCTTCCATTCCTCTATTTGGGTGATATCCAAGGTCCAAAGATGGCACAATACTGTTTCTTGGAGCCTCTATGTGTGTGTGTGTGTGCAAATGGTCTCATTCGTACTACACACTATAAACATCTTTTTTTTTTAACTTGCACACACACACAGACACACACACATATACAGTATACAAGTACTGTATTCCCTGATATGACCCCTTAACTAAATTTCTCTACCACTCTCTCAAAATTGCTTTTATAAACTTCCTCAAGGACAACATCACACAACTATGGTGATACTGAGCATCCCTGAAACACTGAACCAAAAAGTTAAAACAAACAAGTATGGCAGTAACTTATTCATATGATGTGAATAAAAGCAAGCAAGATATGAGCCACAACAGACTGATGTATCGTGTACATGAAACATCCAGGTACAAATATCAATAAAGTAACAAAATAAAATACTGATACTCTGATAACTAAGTACATTATTTTTTTCCTTATATCAAAATAAAATATAATAAAACAATATGCGAAAAATGGTGAATTGTTACTTTAATATAAAACACACAGTACAGTTCTAGACACTCTTGCTACAGCATGCATGTACTACTGGGCCAAAAAAACACATCTTGTATTAATGAACAAGCTTGCTACATTACCTAGTTTCCAATAAGCACAGATATTACAAATCAAAATTGTATTTATTATACTAATTAAAAAATAATTTGACTTATTATGTAAGAGCACAACATATGGAGGTGATTAGCGATCATTTCATGAAAAAATCCTTGAATGAACAACATGCTTTATAGCGAGCAAGTTATTGGATAGCGAAAAACATTTAAAATGAATGAGAGGACTTACACTATAGCTACTATCCGTATTGTTGTCTTTTCTCATGATGACTTGGACGGTGTTGTCCTGACCATCACCCTCACTGCTGGACGCTGACACTGTGTCCCCTATACCTTGACCCTCCGATGCCTACGGTACCCAAAGATCAACACAAACTACTTTTAAGTTCAAACACACACAAAGCAAAATTAAATAATTCTAAAAATAGCATTGAAAGACACCTCACACTCCCAACATGAAGTAAAGTACATCTTTAATACAATATATCACATGGGTTGATGATACATGTACATTTTTTAACACTTCATTCCTCCTTTTAACTCTCCAAACTTTTCAGCTGATGACCTTCTCCATACCTTCAAGAGTTAGAGACTACAGTAACACTTGAAGTATGTGTTGAAGGATCCTACAAGCTGGTCTGGCTGTCACACAGGTGAAGCAGTTGCCTGTATTGAGACGCAAAAATGTGTGGAAAGTATGAGGGTTGCTGCAAGAGGCATTCACAAGCCAGAGTAGAGGTATGACAGTAAAAAAAAAGGGAAAATAACAATCAGTGAAACGATAATAATGAGGAGTGTGTGTGTGTGTGTGTGTGTGTGTGTGTGTGTGTGTGTGTAGATCACTGAGTGGCAATGTAGTGTGAGGGTCAGTAGAGTAAACCCTCAATGATGGTGTTTACATGGGGTACTAAAGCCAACCAGTCTGCCACCTATAAATATACAGTAAATGATATGTTAAGTTAATGATATAAAAATATATTTACAGAAACAAAATTAAGGATGTCAATGCGAGAAATTTTTACCATTGAACATTCTTTACTAACCACACACAAGTTCTTCCATTGAGGATCAAGGTAGACTGTTTTTCTTGTTGTCTCATTATTTGCTGGGATTTTATTTTATTTTAATCTTTAAATTTCTTAATTTTTGATAACCTAACCTATTATATCCCACATCTGTTTACAGCCATCTGCCCATCTACTTATAGCATGTGAGAACCTTTCCAGTTTACTGTATAATTAAAAACTTTACAGAGCACAAAACATAAATACAATTATTACAGTTGGCAAAAAACAAATGTTTTTTATTCAATTATTAATCTCTGATTTGAAGCTGTTGTTGCCTCTTTAAATCTTAAGTGAAAGTACTGCAACAACTTTTTCAACAGTAAATATTACAAACACTATATAACTATAAATTTCATACATAAAGTATTAAGTGGAGATATAATATGTACTGTTATTTCAAAAATACATAATACCTGTACAGTACCGTAACTTATGCTCACTATTTAAGTGTTATATGCACACAACTGTACAATATACACTGAAAATGAGCTTACTTATCAACAGCCACATGTGATCAACGGTCAGTAAGACCATAAAACTCAATTTTATGTCAAGTTAACCTCAAAACACTGATACACGTCTCACAACACTACACCAACGTTAATCTACGAGTCTGTGTTAACGATGAGAGTTGATAACAGCAACACGAGCAAAGTAAAACAATAACATACAAAGGAACTCAATATGATGGGGGACATATTGGAACATAAACTGTGAAGTGTAAAACATGGATGACCTTGGGGGAACTGCTTTGTATACAAGAAAAAGTGATAAGTAATAGGGACTAAGAGGACTACTGCAGTAAACATGAGAAGCAGCAGGGAGTAAAGACAAGGGAGTGTGCTGTTACATAAGCCTTTCAATGAAATAAACTCTAAACTGTACTCTAAATTCTGGATAAATTACTGTAAACGGCAAGCTCTGAGGTTCTGACACTAGAAAAAATCCAAAATCTAAATGCAGTTAATATTCTAGTTAATAAAACCTGTATCAATGGGTTACATCAGGGTTTCAAAGTTGGCACAATGCTATTTTTCAGAGCTGTGAGTAATAAAGGTCTCCAAAAGACCTTAATAATGTATCTACGAGGGACAAAAATCATTCCAATTCTGAACCTGAATTTGTATATGTCGACATTTAAGAGATCAAAGTTGACCCAAGAAATTATAAACTTCTCGACATAAACAGGTTACATAAACAGTATATATCAAGCCAACTGTGAACTCCTGATATGACCCCTTGACACCAAGTTCTCACATACACTAAGTCACTATATTACCAATACAAATAAAGAAGCAAAAACAAGATGACAGAGGAAGTGACAGCATGAGGAATTAGAAATAGTAACTGTATGAGAATATATGAGTATACTGTACCAACCTGTAAGCTATAGTAAGGTCAACCCAGAGCTTTGGTTTCTGATAAGAAATTCTAGAAAATTAAAGCATAGCCACACTCTCTAATAATATGTCATACATCTATAACAAAAAAAGCATGGATAAATTAATAACCACATAATATATCAACCATACTCCATTCTTGTTTATGACGGGGGCAGAACAGATGAAAAGTATAGAAATTATATACTGTATATGTAATTCAGTTTATGCAAAATTAAGTGTCGCTAACAGAAATTATATAAACTTACTGATAAAACTTTGTCCATTAATGCTTGAAACATAACATACTGTACCGTAAAACAAAGTGAATCAATGACCTTCTGCTCCATATATCTCTTTCTCACTCTACACACATCAGGACACTCATATACTCACTCCCTATGTACAGAGGAGATATGTTAAGTGTGAAAATAATAAGAGTGAAAGGAAGTGTTACAGTAACCTCACTAATGAGTTAACTTTAGAAACAAAATCTCTCTCTCTCTCTCTACCTCTCTCTATAATGTACAAGCCTTGATTCATAATGCTTCACTTAACATGAGTTCGTTAATAATAAACAAATACTTAATATAATTTTATCTTAAGGCTCGGTGTATCTCTGCCACCCTCTCAGGTCAGGAATGGAATAAAGTTGACGGGAAAGATAAAAGATTTCAATGCCAACTCACAAAGTCAGTCTCCTTTACACAAATAAGAAAAAGTAATACAAAAATATATATATAATCCTGTGTATGGGTCAAGTTACTACCACACTATCCACCGAATACCACATACCTACGACAGACATTCATACTCACCTGAGAAACATTAGAGTTGGACCTCCTGTGTGCCTGGCTAGTGTTAACATGTACTATGAAGTTTTCTGCTAATTCTTCAACTGCATCCTCGAACTCATTCTCCTCCTCGTCTTCACTGTGGCTGTGTCCTGAGAGAGTGGTGGAAGAGTTAGTTTAAGCACAGCAGTTGAACGCATCACAACAATATATTCGGTGTACTAAATAATTACCGTACGTATAGGAGGTTTAGAGAGTAAGTGCTGTATTGTATATCATTACCAAATGCAAACTTCATATACCATACAAAATTATTTCATGTTTTAATATCTAATACTCTATTTCACTAAGTTGTATACTTGGTTCTCTAAAGACTTCAAAATAAATTCTAAAATAAAATATAAAATAAATCCAGTGATTCATATGACAAATAAGCAATTTCAACTAAAAGATGTTTTTGTTTCTACAATGTGGAGCAGAATTCTCCTGTCACACTTATCATCCCTTATACACATACTCAGCATCACCCATCAACAGCACATCCCCCCCCTCCCCAAAAAAATACCTGACACCGTACTCAGAACATCTACTGCTTTTACTAATCCATCAATTTCCATTCTCTCAATAAGTTCCTATCCCTTAAGAAGACTGTAATGCACTCCCTCCATGACCCACTCTTTTCACTTCAGTATCTCCTCTTTCTGTTGTTAATTTTTCTCTGCTTCCTGTACATTTCCAAACGTTGCTCTCCTGCTCGTCCTTTCTCTCACCTCTTAACTTACTCCTTCCTCTTACATACAGTGTTAATGTGTCACACCTCCCCCCCCTCTTTCTCTCATTACATTTCTCACTCCACAATTTTATTTATTTCCTTTACTGTGTGTTCCATCATTCCTCATTCCATTTTCTGACATCCATTAAAAAGAATTATCCGAAAATAAATAAAGTACATAATATTCTGGACTGTCTATAGTGAGGATATCAAAGACTAGATCTGCATACAAGTAGTAAGTTACACTCCACAAAGCTGCCATGCATATCCAGTCAGACCCGGTTCTTAAGGCTGTGGATATCCCATGCTATTAATAAGTTCTCTACTTCTGTCACTTCACTAAATACAGTGTATACAGTACAGTATATACACCCCGTACCAGCGAAATGCCCGAGACCACAAATGGGACCAATTACAGTTTCAGCATTAATGGAACATCTAACAATCAGCCCCCCCCAGCGCTCACCTTAAGTTTTGCCTCTCAGATTAAATAGCCTGAAATTTAACACCACGAAATTATCTGGGGGTTGTTCATATCAATCCATAATGGTTAAAATTGTGAATGGCCTTAATTCTGGTGTAAACTACATTGCTGCCCTGTACTTACACTGGGATGTTGGACAAAGTAAAAATTTTGAAAAACTGTGAAGGGACAAACACAAAAATTACCCCACCCCCCCAAAAAAAATGTTTAGTTTAGTATAGTTTAGTAGCTCCAGTCTAATGGGAAAAAACTACAGGTACTGGTAATTAGTGATATAAAATGGGTAGAAATTACTTCAGGGAATCATAATCACAATTACTGTATACAACTTAAGGCCCCATATCCTCCACCACAAGGTTGGTACAGTACTGTTTACTCAACAAAAACAAATTATTGAAATAAATTTGCCAGAATAGCCCAGAGTTAACCTTGAGGTACTGTATAACAAACAAACAACTATAACTAAGAGGAAGTGACTACTGTACTGTATAATAAAAGCACGAAAGGGGTGAAATTATCTTGAGGGTCATTATCATAACTAAGGATCAAATAAAAACTCAAAAAAAGAGAATAAATAATGCACAAACAGCAACAAAACTTTCCTGGGTCAGTAGCACAAAAAGATAACAAAATTCCCACCTCTTTTAACACATATTGGAAAAAAGAAAAATCAGGTTGTACCTAAAATTTATTTGTATACTCAAGGGAGTTTAAGGGATACCCATAATTTTTTTCTTCTGCAAATGATATTTTTAAACATACATGTTTGTTAACAATAATTCGTGTTTTCACTTTGCATCCCATTTTACTGACAAGCCAACATAAACATGTGCTGACTATAAGCTTTGGTAAAATTCCATGGACATTAAACCAAAATGGTTAAGAGAACTACAGATAGCTTATAAAACGCTTCCTAAATAGCAGTTATGGCAGCCACGTTTGATGATGGGTGGCACCAGTAGAGTATACAGGCAGATCTGTGAGGGTTTTGTGATAACTGGACCTAATTAAGAGTAGCAGAAGTAGCAAAGAAAACAAAACAGTGGACGTCAGACAGATGCAGATCAGTGGATGGTGCAACTTCCCATCAGCTCCTTTGGTCTTTAAGCAACAGAGCGATAAAAGAAATATGTGTGCAGGTGAGCGTGGAATGGGGGTAGGCAGAAATGGTAAAGGGATGAGGAAAGGGAGGTGGAGAGAGTGTCAGAAGGAAGGATAAGTAGGGAAGGAAGGAAGAGAATGGGGAGAGGAAAGGGAACAAGGGGAAGAAAGGAGAGGGAGAACAAGGAGGAGAAAGAGGCAGGTGGGAATGAGAGCTAGACACAGACGAGAGAGAGAGTCAAACAATCTGGCCAACCTGGTACAGTATATACATAACCATACCAGCAATAGTAGAAATGTTAGTAAAGGTTTAGTTACATTATCTATGCATCTACCTTCACCCTCACCAACCTGGCGGCTCTCCTTGTAGGGAAAATTGTTCTGGCTGACCAAACACATTGACTTCTACGGTGGAACTTGTAGGTACGGGGTTTTGCACACCTATGGAGATAGCTAAATCTGCAACGTCTGTCTCCCACAAGATCAACACCACGTTCTATCTTTGTCTGGGTCTGTGTTCAGTGTTGTCATTTGTTAGTGCCAGTGTGTCCTGCATACACTTCCTCTCGAGTCTTGCGCAGTCCACATACCTTGCACAGATCATCTACAGCATCTAGCACAGTTCATTAATCTTGCACAGTCCATATACTGTTAATAGTAAACACATGCTACTCACACACCTTCACTTTCTGTATGTACTCTGTTCTGTCACCTAATCCCCCATCACCTCTCTCACACACAACTTTCCTTGTATATACTCCATCACCTTCAAAACTAGAGACACCACCGACCAGTCCCTTATGAATATTGTACAGTGTATTTGTGTTTTTCACTCGTCACACTCACCACCTGCCTCGCTCCACCTCCACATCTCACAACATCCATTCCTCTCTCTTGTGTTTCTCCATCGTCGAGTCTCAGGATGTGGCAGACTTACACATAACTCTTGTATGATACAGTATGCTGAGCCTCACCCCAGCAGACCTCACCACACCTATACACTTTTGACTTCATGATAAGACAGCAATTATTCTGATTCTACGGAGCCATAATATTAGTAAGTGGTTTATATAACACAATATAATGATAAATCCTATTTTTAATAATGGTATACAAAAAATATACAAAGACATTCAATGAGAAGTGTTAATTTACATAAATGTTTCATCTTAAAGAACTTGTAAGTATTTCAAGCCATAAATTCTCTTTGTACACATCACATGACCCTAGACAACGAGATACAACTTTGTACAGCACTTACAAGTTCTCTACGTTCAAAATATATAAAAACATTGAGGGATTTCTGCCTTAAAATGTAAATAACACAGCATAACAGTAGAAGTTCACCGGCATTACATTGAATTTTAACTGTATAGTATTTGGTGTTAGATCAAGCTCCACCACTGGCTCTCTTAACTTAGCTGCGAGGACACAAGGACCTCTGACTCGACTCACCAGGTGGCATGGCCTGGTTCATCTGCTCCTTGGCCTCCTGCTCAAGATGGGAATGTTGGCGGGCTAGCTGCTCCACCATATCTTCCAGCCTCACCCGCTGGTCTCGTTCATGCTGCAGAAGTCGCTGCCATTTGCGCCCTGCAGTGCTGCTCACCTCAACGTAGTCGTTACAGGCCTGCAGGTGTAATAACTCAATTAATACATTGTTTCATTGTTAAATATTAAATGCAATTCATATATAACACTTTTTTTTACCCCTTTTGAGAGTTAGTGATTACAGGTATTTCTCTTTCAGTTAATTAAGACTTTAATTTCAACGGGTTAATCTCTAGTAATTAATAGCAATTTTCCTAATCAAAATTAAATTACAGGTATAAATATTCTTTTGAAGGTGGTCACTGTATTTCTTCTTTCATGTGTAGTATTTATAAAGTTCAGAGTGAGACTCTTCTCATTACCTGGACAAAAAATGTAGAAGACTGTTGGACATATTTACACCATTACTGGACATCAAAGTTCATATGTTAGTGAGATGTTGAACAGTGAAACATATTGCCTTCATTAATACAGTACACACTACCCTGACACGCGATTACCGTTACTGTATTGTACTGGAACTCGTTTTTTATTTACAGAATTACTAATGCTGTAACAATTACAGTGTTTCTTACAATGTGCAGTATTCTGTATGATTTTAATTATTATCTTCACTATAAAAAGCTTCTCTGGAAACTAATGTGTTTAAAGCTTAAAGACAGTCAATATTTGAGAAGAGAAAATGTATATAAGGACGATATAAAACACGGGAACAACATAATTTGCATTTTAAATATTCAGTACGTATTAAATTATTTCAAAGCTCATTAATTAACACTAATTACTTGAGGAGGAGAGAAAATGAAGGAGAGATGGAGGGAGGATACGAGAAGACAACGACCAACAACCATAAAGTCTACGGCGACCACCATCCACATTTCACTTATTATAAAGGTGCCGTCATAGGAAGTTTCTCAGGTGTACACGACTGAATGCCGACACAAGCGACGTGGGGTGACAACGAGACTCACCTGCCGTCTACTATAATGATATTACACTCTTTGTAACACTGAGTAGGTTTAGAGGTTAATGAGATATAATTAGAAAAGACTTGAAAGGTTAACATTTATAAATATTTAAGACTAAAATGCCATTGTTGTGCCAGGAGATATCCATTTATTCCCCCCCCAAGCTTCTCTCCAGCCCCGTCCACTACCCCTCACCCCTCTACCTGTGTGTTGTGAGGGGGGGGGGGACACTTGGCATCACACCTATAATAAAGAATGTCACACACGATCATCATCTTTCATTTTCTCAGCCACCAAACACGTTAAACGACCATGACTGAGGGACACACGATACTGACTAAGTGGCCATATCAAGGGTTCAAGGTGTGTGTGTGTGTGTGTGTGTGTGTGTGTGTGTGTGTGTGTGTGTGTCACCGGAAGACTTTTTTTAAGAGGAAGAGGATTAACTGGAGGTAGGTCAGGGTCAGGTCAGGTCAGCAGCACACACACACACACGCCGTGAGAAACGTTGGTCGGTGAGAGAGATAAAAATAACGGTGGAGGAGAAGGGCGGGAGAGGCTAGATGATAAGATAAGATCAAGAAGGAGGAGATAAACAGTGGGGAGGGGGGTGACAGAGGGAGAGAGAATGAGGCAGGGGAGGTGTGAAAGCGTGCATGACCTAGACACTGGGGAGAGAGAGAGAGAGAGAGAGGGGCAGGTGTGAGGAAGGCATATAGGGAGACGGGGGGGGGACCAGGTCAGGGTGATATCAACAATCCTCCAGGAAGGAAGGAACAGATCCCTCCATCCATCCCAGATCTCTACCTTGAGTGCCAACAGTCACGCCCAGAGCAGGAACCAGCGAGTGCCCCCCACACACCGCCCATAAATACACTCCCCAACACATCTTTACACCCCATTGCTTCTCTCACCTCCCTTCCTCACTACCTGGCACCCTGGCTATCTCCCTACCTTACACCCCTTCTCGTTTTCCCTCCCTTGCTGCCTCTCTCCCTCGTCTCTTCCATCTCCTCCTTCCTGTTCCTCTTCTTCTTTCTCCTCCCCCCACCTCTTCCTCCCCCTCCCTTACACCCTTCCTTCTCACATATATTGGCCTTAATTTCTTCTTCTTTTTACACACACAATTCTTACCGCTACTGGCGACCGTTTCACGACTCTGGCTGGCTGGCAGTCTGTGTATACCACGCTTCTGAACAGAGAGAGAGAGAGAGAGAGAGAGAGAGAGAGAGAGAGAGAGAGAGATGACTGTCTGATCACCACAAGGAGCATCTCTTCTCCCGGCACAAAGACTAGAACACACCAGGTAACAGTGTGGAGGCGGGGGTGGTGGGGGAGGTTGGAGAGTAGGGGTGGGAGGGCTATCGTGAGTGCAAATCAATACGGCATTCATAACGACATCCTGACGTAACCTAACTTAACCACAGTCAGGTGAGTAGGACCTTCGTGTGTGACCTTCAAGTGCGACCGTCGAGTGGTGAAGGAGGAGGTGAGGGGAACAATAAGGTCATGAACTTGGCTGTCATCTGAAGGAGGTCGACGGCGACATTCTCTTGTTTACTTAACCCACATCAGCCACCTCCTCCATCTCTTCCTCCTCCTCCTCCATCTCCTCCGTGGTGGGAGTATGAGAGGGAGGGAGGGAGAGGGAGGTATAGAAGTATAAAAGAAGGAGAGGTACCAGAGAGAGGGTTGAGGGAAGGGTACAAGAAGGAGAGGAAGGTGAGAGATGAGGGAGAGGAAGGGTACAAAAGGGAGAGGAAGGTGAGAGGGGAGGGAGAAAGAGGTGAAGGTGCCAAGAAACCTTCACCCATTCAACAGCAGCAGGTGGTGGTGGAGAGGTCGTCTTGTGTAACCTCGAGTGTATGTAAGTAACCTACATAACAAGGTGTTCCCCCCACCTATGTCTCCCCCTCACAAATATTTACCAATGTTTCCTCCCCTCTCACCCACCCTACCCATCCATCAATCCTAACCACCTCCCCTGACTCAACCATTCATTATACCCACCTACCCACCCCCCTCACACCTGGCGGGGGTAACTAACACCTCCCTCTATGAGCCTCTTCACCAGCTTAAACACCAACTTACGTGACAAGAAACCGACACACGTTATGGAGCGACGCATTACGAGATGACTGACGGACGGACGGTGGGCTAATAGGTGGCGCCACACGTCCTTTTATACCACACCTTGAGACTTAGGGGTGTGAGGTGACCCTGGACGGCGGTGAGGGGTCGGGATAAGCAGGGAGGGAGGGAGAGCGTCACCTGCAAGAGTGTGTCAGAGAGCAAAACACCTGAGTCACCTGTCCGTCTCATAGTTATTACGGGAGGCGATCACCTGGCCCGAGGGGGGGGGTGTGAAGGGGCGTTGCTGGGCACCCACTCTCACGTGTCTCTCCCTTCTGTCACTCTCACTGCCAGGGTCACCTCTCACACACTCCCTCTCCCCCCTTACACACCCTCACCCTCTCTCTTTCCTCCCTTCCTTAAACCCGCACCTCTCTCTCTCCCTTAAACCCTCATCTTTCCTCCCTCCCTTATACCCTCACCTTCCTCTCCCTCCCTCCCTCATACTCTCCTCCACCTCCTTATCATCACCCTCACACTCTATCTTCTCCCTTATACCCTCTCCTTCCTTCTCTCCTCCCTCGATACTCTCCTCCACCTCCTCTATCATCACTGCTCCCCACACTCTATCTCTCCCTTAAATCCTCACCTTCCTCTCCCTCCTCTCATACACTCTCTCCACCTCCTTATCATCACCCTCACCTATCTTCTCCCTTAAATCTCTCTCCTCCTTCCTCTCCCTCCTCTCCACCTCCTTATCATCACCCTCACACTCTATCTTCTCTTAAACCTCACCTTCCTTCCTCCTCCTCATATTTCTCTCCACCTCCTATCATCACCTCACACTCTCTATCTTCTTCCCTTTATACCCCTCTCCTTCTCCCCTGGGAGGTTGGCGGCGCTACACATATTGCCATATCACTCACTGACAGACTCCAACACACTCTCGTAATACTAACACAAGGAATTTGGAGAGAGACAGGGCGAGGGGGGGAGGGAAGAGGGAGGGGAGGAAGAGAGAGGAGGAGGAGGAGGAGGAGGAGGAAGGAGGAGGACGGGGGAGGAGAAGGAGGAGGAGGAGGAGGAGGAGGGGTGGAGGGAGGAGGAGGAGGAGGAAGGAGAAGGAGGACGGGGGAGGAGAAGGAGGAGGAGGAGGAGGAGGAGGAGGAGGAGGAGGAGGAGGAGGAGGAGGAGGAAGAGAGAGGGGAGGAAGAGGAAGGAGAAGAAGGGAGGAAGAAGAAGGAGGAGTAGGGAGGAGATAGAGGGAAGAAGGAAGGAAAGAGAAAGAGGAAGAAGGAAAGAAAGAGAAGGAGGTATAAGGAAGAGGGAAGAAGAGGAAAGAAGAAAAGGCAGGAAGAGGAAGAAAGAGGAGATGGAAATAATCAACCAATAGATAACACAAGACTATCGATCTCAAGCTGCGTTACTGAGGAAGGCTGGGGGGGGGTGCAGTGAAGACCTCGTGGATTAAAAAAACTCTCAGGGGGTCAGTCAGCCAGGGAAAGCGTTTATAGTGCTGACTGATTCGCAATATAATGTCACAAAGGAACGACTGATATCAAGGATATGGCTGATTACCACCCCCCCCCCCAGGCTAAAAACCCCATCCTTTTTTCTCTACTCTTTCTCCATCCTCCTCTATTTCCTTTTTCTCTCACTCTCCTTCATGTAGTGTGTGTGTGTGTGTGTAATATATATATATATATATATATATATATATATATATATATATATATATATATATATATATATATATATATATATATATATATATATATATATAAAACACACACACACACACACACAAACACTCACTCACTCACTCACTTTCATATAAGTTTATTTCATTAACTACGACACTCCAGCACGCACACACACTTGTTCATAAAATTCAAGGGAACAAAAAAATTTAATATAACGAATAACGCGATATATAATAATAATAATAATAATAATAATAATAATAATAATAATAATAATAATAATAATAATAATAATAATTATTACTATTACTATTATTATATAAACTGGAACTGCG